CCTTGGTGTCCATTTTTCGTTGTCCATGCGAGCAGTAAGACCCGCCCAATTACATTTTTGTCTAAAGCGTCTATTATTTTTGTTGTTTTCCTTATTTCTGTATTTCTCTTCCGATGTTGTCTTTGTATGTTTAGTAGACTCCTTTCCATTGTTCTCTGGCACACTTGTATTTTGTTTTTGGTGTAGTTATTGTAAATCCATGTCTGGAAGCCATATGTAAGACAAGGTATTAAATATGAGTCCATAATTTTTTACTCGCATTTTTCCATTTTTGTTTTTATTAAATTTTTTGAAGTTATACTTTTTTAGGCGCGTTATGAAAAATTTATGAGAGTGAAATTTTACGATGCGCGCTCATCGTGACACAAAATTAACAGAATGAAGTTGCCCACGGAAGATGCTACGGCATTGGTCATAATTTAAAACAACATTCGAATAATAATAGAATTTATGTTAAACTTAATGTAAGAGAATAATAATAAATATTTATTTATTTAATTTTTCAAATGTAAACTGAACTGTATTGACTATAATGGCTCCTTTTCCAGTCTTTGATTATTTAATTGTAATTAATTTTTTGCATGCAATCTAAACTATTTTTAATAATGCCAAAGAAGTATAACTTCTTACGCGCGTACATAAGTACAAGCACCCTTTTTTTTACCGAAATGGCGCGACGAGCAAGTAGCAGATGTTAAATGTTAACACTTGCCAACTTAACAAATCTAATAGTAGTAAGTACTAAGTAGACTTCAATACAATAGAGATTTACTCTGAGAAGAACAAATAATATTGGTTCTAAGTTAATAAGCATAAAATTCAATCGGAGGTCATGTTTTCTAGTGGACACTTCGATAACGCGTTTTATAGACCAAGTGGTGCCATCTATGGAGCAGTATCGGTACTACAGTAAAAATTATTTAATACAATACCTAATTACTTAATGCGAAAATATAAACGACACATAACATTCCGCCTGATATGATGCAAGTTTTTGTGAATTCGCTCTCCAAACATGTTCCATCGTTGACAGAATGCCAGCTTTATCAATGACGGATATTACAGAGAACTATATACAGTGGATTTCATTTATTACCTTGGTGGCGTAGTGGTCCCTTGAATTTAAAGCAACTATAGCTACTTTGGAGTTTTTAATGAATCATTTGTAACAAATTCCTACAAATCCCGTGCAGATATTACGACCGGAGTCAGCCGCCAAAGACACAAAGATGTATTTATTACTCAAACTAGTCCTGTGTCGGTTATGAACGACCGACTCAAAACGACCGAGTCCCAACAATCGCGTGATTGATACAATCGTTCGCAGCCGCTATATCCCAATCATGTTTGACCGACACGACCGTTCGGTCTCAAAGCGAACGCTATGAAATGGTAGCTCCTCGGTTACTATCGGCTCTCGGTCTCATAGAATATTATTCGCGATTGACATACACTCGGTTAATCTCTGAAGACCGAAACTAGGGTCAAGCTATATTGAACTTTAATACTAAGGTGCGAAGGTAATAATTTTCTTTCGTATCTCGATTCAAGGAAAAAATGTTCGTAACACGTAGATATTAAGGGCTATTTTAACATGTGGATTTTAACATGCTTTTTGTTTACGTTCAAATTCTAAATGTAAACAATCGCCGTTGTAATTATTTCACTTATGATTTGTATAAGCATTTAAATTTATAGAGTCAATTATTATTATTTAAAGTTATTAGTTGGAGATTGTGATTATTTAGACTCTTAACTTCGCTTTGGATATTAAAAAAGTAGTAACTATTGTTTTATATGGTGCCGTTTTATTTCTAAATCATAATTTAAAATAGCATAATTTTCTTTGTTTATTGGATTTTAATAAACCATTTTCCATTTTTTAAGTTTTTATACCAGGAATCATTACCTAGCTTATTTCCTGTAAACTACGAAATTGTTGAACGATTAATGGCCATCGTTCATTTGCTCTACGCCGGTCGCCGCCTTTTGTTTTGCACTCAACGAACGGTGACCGATCGAATCCTTTGACTCGGTCACGAGTGCGATCGGTCACGATCGACCCGGGTCGCGAGAAATGAACGACCGACACAGGCCTAACTCAAACATTTCTTATATTTTGTTTATCACAGATTGTCAGCAACTGTGGATAAATTTTGTTTATTTTATAGGTATCAGTTCGGAGTTAAATCTTAAGGCTCAGTTTCAAAGTGATACTCTGATTTATTTTTTAAATGTACCAGTGAATAACTGTGTGCAAATGTTTTCAATAATCTTTATATATAAAATTCTCGTGTCACAATTTTCGTTCCCATACTCCGGAACGGCTCGACCGATTCTTATGAAATATTTTAGGCATATACAGTAAGTCTGAGAATCGCCTACTATCTATCTTTCAAATCCCTAAATGTTAAGGTCAACCTAATATTTTATTTTTTATTTTTTATGATACAGCATACAAAAACACATACAACCCTCACGGCCTGGCCACGGGGATCGGCGGTGCGAACGGCGAAGCGGGAGGTGAGGCGACCATTCACGCGGCGCCGTTTGCAGGCCACGCACAAGTCAAGTTCGCCGCCGCGACCAGTAAGGAAGTTCGACAGCGAAATGTCTTTATCGAAATCATCTCGATATTGCTTGGAAAGTAATAGCTTTTGGTTCAAGACCTAATATTTGGAAGAGATTGTGGAGTACATGATTTAAAATAAGAATCCAGGTATAGATGGAGAATTCTACAAGAAGTACGAGAAATACAGAATATATCCAGAATTTTTTTTGAGTATACCAGAATGAGTATTGAAACCTTCGAACCTTCAAACCTTAATTATATTCTTATGAATATTTAACTAGAATTGGAGTAAAAAGTTAATGCAAATAGAATTTTAAGTGCCGCTGAAAAATTGTTTTTGACATTAAGGTATATTAAATTTATGCTGTGGATGGCCAGACTTCCAAATAGCTGGTCATGCCAGTATTTCAGTAATAAAAAACTCTGTATTCATTTTTCGCCGCGAAATCGACTAAACTTATTTAATCCCTGCTCTATTCGCCGCGACTGCCGCTCGACTCCGTGGCTTGCGCCGTACTGATTCATGCCTTTGTTTCGCTCGCCGGCCGCGACGTCAGTCGCCCGCGCGATTCGCTCGGCACATTTCGCCGGTCGTCGTTGCGCGTGGCTTGATGAGTACATTGCTATGAGTTTATTTCAGTCGCTAGACGCTTCGCCGTTCGCACCGCGCGAATATTCGCATCGGCGAATGTCCCGTGGCCAGGCTGTTAAATTTCATCCTCTACGATCAACCCCTATTTTTATTTGTTAATTAAAATTTAACTTATAATAAACCTCAGAGGGTTTATTGTATAGAGAAAAATTCACAGAAAAACCTAAAAAGTTTTCATTCCGGAAAACCGAACAGTCTCTGGGGTAGCATAGCAAAATGTTCCATGTTGGTATGTCCTAAGACGGTAGGCTAAGTAAAATCACATTAAACGAAGTTCGCGGGGGCAGCAAATTAATATAAATTAAACACATGTATGTGTATCACAGGTCACAATCATTGCCTGTAACGACTTCCGGATATAACCACGAAATTAGAGTGGTACCTTCATCAGCGTGTTTAGTTTATCGCCGTCTTAAAATAGTTAACAACACAGAGTCGCCAAGTGCGTCATTGTGTATGAATAAAAGCTTATAAGTAGGAACAGGTGTATTACTATATATGTATTGCACATGAACATAGTATAATAATATGTAAATAGCATATATTCGAATACTTTACATAAAGGATTACATTAAGTTTTATTTGTTAAAAAATATAATAACTAAAATCTTAATATATTAAATTACGCGTCTTGTTGTTGGTCGCTATGGACTCCTAAACCGATTTCAATTAACTTGCACACAGCTTGAATAGCTTACATCTCAATTTATACCCGCAATATTATTTTATTGCAAAATATTTGTTTATTATTTGATAGTCACAATTCTAACAGATGGCGCTGTGTTGAAAGTACCAACGTTTCACATAAGCTACAATTTAATGGCTTAACCACCAAAAAAGGATGGTGGTCGCCATGAGTGGTGTTCTCCTACCGTTTCCCTTGAATAGTTTGCTACTATGTAATATAACAAAAACCTTAGCCACAGCAACGCTTGACCGGTCTGCTAGTATATTATTAAAAAGAGTCCCTTTTGGTTCCGAAGATACTGGCAGCGTTCAGCGCCAGCTCTTCGGTCTCCTGTGATGTCGACTAACTGTTTTGCTATTTCCTCAAAAAGCCTTATACCGCTTGGACCCCACGGACCAAGGGTCTCGACATCGAATGGGACAAAAACATATTCGGAGCCTAGACACCTTGTTTTTTTTTTTTATTTCTCTCAAACATCACACTCTCGTTTCTCTTCACGTCACTTTCATATATTTTAGTTAATAATTAGAAGCGCAAACCAAATGTTAGCAATCATCGTACAGCGTAGCAAATAAATTGTAAAACGTCAATTTCGCTAGGGGAGCGTTCAAGTTATACGTAACGCAATTTTTGGAGATTATTGACCCTTCCCCATGTAACTCGTAACGTTTTTCAGTACCCAAGTATAGTAAACGTTTCGTGACCACCTAGAGACTCTTTAGTTACTGTTATGTGGTGTTAGTCGAAAAAAATATTAACAATAACGCGTAATTTAATCCCCGCCCCGCATCGTAACGATTTACAAAAGGAAAAAAATACGTTACGTAATACTTGAATGCTCCCTAGTAATAAATCAGCCCTTTAGTTCATACATCAATTGTGATATAACATTCTCGTTTCCGATAACGTCCAATAGATCGCCTACTAATTTTTTTGTTAATCCAGGATTGCAAACCCACTACCCCTAATGTTATCTCAGTTATAAGTCAAAAATCAAAAATCATTTACTCACATACTGTCAAAAAAGTCATACCTCAAATCAAGGGCGTAGAACGGAAGAGAAGAACTGGCAATAATCTGATATTTTAAACCATTAAAGTCAGTTGTTACCCAGCTTCAAACAGAGCGTTTCATTTAACATATATCTGATCATATCTACAACCCTAAGCTGGTTGTAGCACACAGAATGAATAATATATATATATATATATATATATATACATTCTAAGAGAGATGTGCCTTAAAAATTTGATGAATTCTTGTCTATTGTATGTGAAAATGACATCCATTAAACCACGTCGTTCTTTCGTGCTTCGTTCGCCCTTGAATTATGCATTACGCTAATGAAGATAGTACATAGTAAATATATCGTCTACTTAGCTAAGTAGTAAGGGAGCGTTCAAGTATTACGTCACGCAATTCTTGGAGATTATTGAGCCCCCCTCCCTGTAACGCGCCGTAACGTTCTAGACCTAATAATAAAACGTTTCGAGACCGCCCAGTGACTCTTTCTACCTAAAAGTTACTATTATGTGGTGTGAAGTACTGAAAAGTCGAAAATAATATTAACAATAACGCGTAATTCAATCCCAGCCCCGCATCGTAACGCTTTACACAAAAGGACCCCCCCTCCCAAAATTCGTTACGTAATACTTGAACGCTCACTAACATGTGTGGGAAACACCCAGATCTGGAGTCTGCGTTGAAAAATCTGAGCAAACTGTTACATAAATCTATTCTTAATCTTGAGACATAATCACTTTTTGACATTTGTGACTCAGGGACGCTATACTAATTTGTCTAGACATGAGTTCATACTCTGATATTTATGAAGTGAAACTTCTTTAGGCGCATGAGGGTAAATTTTTTACGGATGAAACGTCACGAAAATGTGCAGGGTTTTTGTCGAAGAAAAGGGACAGAGCGTTTGAAACCGATTGAGAGAGTGAGAAGGGCGAACGTAGCATGAAGCGAGAGTAGAGTGAGAAAGATCGAGAGATATAGCGTCATATCACGCACAGTGAAGAATCATCATCATCATCATCAAGCATGGAGCGAGAGGATAATGTTGAAACACGAACTTATATTGCATATTTACTTATAATAATGCTTTAGTCACAACAATACCGATAGAAATCGCGTCGAATAATGTAAATATAGAAGAAATAAATAAAAAAATTAAATTTATAATTTGTATTAATTTTCGACACTTTTAATATTTTAATGACAATTAAATTCATTAAATTCCTAACACATCTTCCTTTTTCCCTCCATTTAAGTCTCGGAAATCTAAAGTTTTAGATTTGTATAAATATGAACAAGACTTAAAAATTAGTTTGCCAAAGAAGTTTCACTTCTGACATGCGTACCTTGTGTACGCACGCACTTTTTTATGTTACAGGAGGCAAACGGGCAGGAGGCTCACCTGATGTTAAGTGGTACCTGGACACTCGCATCGCCAGAAGGCTCGCAAGCTACCGGCCTATTAAGTCTTGGTACGCTCTCTTCTTGAAGGACCCTAAGTCGAATTGCAAACATCAGCCGTTTGCTTTTGTTTAATAAAAACCGAACCGCGGCACTGAAATTCCATTTAACTACGCTACGAGCGTAGCAGATAAAATCAATCTTATTTTATGACATAATAAGTTGACCGAGTTTCAGAAGTAGGGTGCGTAAATATTTCGTAAAAAAACTGGCCCATTGCCATAAAATCATCACATAAAGATCGTTGTAATGTTTACACGTCAATGACTTAGATTTTTAAATTATTTTGAATGAATAGTACTCAAATAGACTGCAATTACATTACTGGTGACATTTCAGTTATTTCGACTATGCATTTGCGTGTTGTTACCACGAAGATGTAAGTGCGTGCTAATATTTCACCATCCCTCCTGCTGATGGAGGACAAATCTTTGTTTTTAATTTATTTTCTTATTATTTATTACTTAAGATGTCATGTGGAACATGGTGTAATGGTTGCAGCTCCTTACAAACGTTGCGTAAAACAAAATACTTGGAGATTAAAAAGAGTGGCGGAGAGTTTATTGCCATTTCTTCTCGTCCGTTCTACGCTCTTGATTTGAGAACTGGCAGTAAATGTAAAATTAGAAGCATTTCATATGTATATGTATATTTCCTTTTTTTTATGTTCGTAAGTGTACATTGTGTTACCTATATGAATAAATGATTTTGACTTGACTGTTAAAACTCTCGATCCAATGCAAATAAGGTCCCTTAAAAAATGTTAATTCTCAAATGACAAGCAACCCACACGTGAGCCTGGCATTTATGGATGGCCTGGTGTCTATGGGTCACATTATTAACAAAGTAAGACTTTTGCCCCATTCAATTAACAAAAACCGTGTCTAAGAAAGAATAAAAGGGGGAATATTTATGAAGTACATACATTTATCTATGTATTATTGGCACAATTAAAACAAGTCATGGCACATGTTTAAAACATTAAACATTTTAACAAGGAGTTATCAATCGCTCGACAGCAGCTTGAAACAGCTCGACCGATTCTTATGAAATTTTTTATGCATATTCAGTAAGTATGAGAATCGGCTACTATCTTTCAAACCCCTAAGTGATAAGGGGTGTCCACCCCAAACAAATTTTTTACTATTTTTTAGACAGTTTTTTAGTTTTTTATGATACAGCATACAAAAATACATACAACCCTTAATTTTCATCTACCCTCTACGATCAACCCCTATTTGTTTCTCTTCTTTCTCTGGAGTAGCATAGCAAAATGTTCCATGTTGGTATGTACTAAAAAGGTAGGCTAGGCATTAAGGAGAAAAGAAGTTCACGGGGGCAGCTAGTATAATAATAATTAATTCCCCAAATGAAACCTCATTAGGAAAGTCCCTGATGTACAGCTGCCGAAAGAATGTAATTCAATACATTAGTGGTTGTGCCACTCATTTAAATATAAATATTGGAGTTTCCCTTGTTCATAAATATAATGGGGACAACCCCTAGGTCTTTACCCATTAGACACATTTAAAATTTGTTTCATTTTTTTATAATTATTAATATATCCTATATACTTTAGCTTTTGTGGAGCATTAAGTAGACAAATATGAATTAAAAATCAGCCCTGTAGCCTGTATCGTAATAAGGAATAGACAGCAATTAAATTTAAGCAAGCACTTGCTTTTAGGAGATTTATTCCTGTATTCTACAGAAGTTTACAACTAAATCCAAAATCGAAATTATATTTTTTGTCATTGAGAATTTACTTAAACGTTATTGAACAAATAGAGTGATGTGGAACATAGTGGCCCAAGGAAGACACGAATGGAAAAGGAGGAGGCCTCTGCCAACTGGCAAACAGATCTGCAGAAATCAAGCAAGATCCCAAATATTAGAATACTTTTTTTTCAACCTTCTAATACCTAGTTTAATATAATGATCATGTTTATATGTGTACCTTAGTCGATCTGAAATACCAATGAGATCATGAGTGGCCACCTGCATCTTGTCTATGAATCATACTATAGAACTATGATATAATCACCTAATTCTAAGTAAATGCTTGAATATTTTTTAAACTAGCAATTAGTAATTAAAGCAGCTTGTGGCCCAAATTTATATCTTCAATATTGAATTAAAAAATATACACTTTAATTATTACGTAAAATACTACGATATTTCTTATTTGCATGTCATCATAAATATGGAATGATACTCCAACTTTTACTGATATTTGACTTAATTGAAATTGATCGCAATTTAGTTTACCTTTAATAATATAAATTCTCGTATAAATAATTAAGAATTTTCTCTTAGCTTTTAAACAAAAGGTTTCTTCGTAGCAATTTTTTCATATCACTAGGGTACTTACACATTTAATTTGGTAGTTTCTAAAAGGATTCCATCACTCTCGGGATTCAAAAATAATTCCTTGCCTTGATGAACCCATTTCTCACCAAACGGATTATTTTTTCCGTCGTTATATCGAAGACAAAAGTAGATTTTTTCGTTTTTTCTAGGCACAAGCACTTCTATTTCTGAATACCACGCAAGAGTTTTAATTTCCCGTAGTTCGTAACTTGAATATATTTTTTCACAATTACCCCCTCTAGAACCTTCGTTGGGGGTTAATCTCCAGGGTTTATGACCAAGAAACTCGCCACCATGCACCAATAATAAATATTTACATTTATAATTCGTACACGATTTTGCGCCTATTCTAAACGACACTATCCATGGTTCTGCTGTATTGTTTGTAGCACTCACATTATACACAACATAAAAAAATATCCAAAAAGTCCGCAATAAATTACGGGCTGATGCCATTTCCATTGGATCTTTACAAGTAAAAAATTAAATTGCGAAGCGCTTCGATTTTATACCGACATATTAAATGTTTTCCGAATTCACAAACTGTCACTGACAATAGCTACCGGAACTGCAGGAATATGATTGGATTATGATATATGTTGTCACTTCCGCGATCTTTGGCAGATATACAATTTTTTTAATAAATGTGGGTTTTTTTATTACTGGATTTAAATTTTAATCCCTTAGAATAATTCCATAAGTATTTTATTATATTTCGCAATAGCAGTTTATTTTAAAATTGATTTGTCATTATATGTTATCCTGCCATCTATTTAGATAAATGATAACTTTTGTCAGCTGTGTTTGACATTGTTATTTGGAAATTGGAACCTTTTATGAGTCTGCGATTTTGCTAGAAAATATTTTTTATCTGCTGTATTTCTCATTTCATCATTTCAATTTGGGAAACTAAAAGTCAAAAATTAGTGTGTTGGCTAGGTCTAGGAAATTATTATTTTATAAATAATTAATGAAATGCAAGCAAAACTATTTATTTAGCAATGAATTAATGGAATTTATTAGATTTTCAATTGTATGTTTAGCTGCGGGGCGTCATTTTTGGGTTGTATAATCATGAATTTAGCTGCTTAGATCTAAAAGGTTTTTATTTTGTATCTTGAATGGAATTCATTAAGATGGAAGTGCGGGAGGCGGGAGATGGGGCTGCTGCAGGCGAGTGTGACCGTGAACCGCCCAAAAAGTATAGCTGGGCGGAAGTTAGACAAGCTGTTCACGATTTAAGAAAGGATCTCTCATCTTTATCCACAATGGTGCCAATGGCTATTTGTTTTCGAAAACTCGGCTGTGGTAAAACCAGGGTGTACTTTTTGAGGACTCCACAAAACGGATGGGAGACACTTCTGTACACTGATGTTTTACCAACTTTGCAGCCAAGCAATGCCAGGTCAGCAAACAAAGACATTACTTTTTTTTTGATATTGGGACTGCCCATTTTTGACCAAATACATTGTTTAAAACCCTTTCATGTACTATTTATTAAATATGCTTGTTTATGTGAATATTTACATGCAAAACACATACAAATATACCATTTATTGTCAAGATAACATCCATCTCCTTTAATTAAATACTATTATAGTTATTTCCAAGACAAAAGATGTCTCTTCCCCAATACAAACAATAAGTACATACATTGTTTTGTTTACATATAAATTACATTGTTAATAGCATCAAAGTAGGATTCTGTTCTAGAAAACTTGAAATGGTATAAAATAATTATAATAATATAACACTTCTCAAACATGCTACCTCCAGCCTATTTGCCACATCTATCAAGATTAAATTAATGCTTACAACTATAATATCATTAAAATAAATGAAACAGACAACACAATTTGGCCAAGGCAAGAGAAACAGAAGACATTTTGGTAGATTGGTTATTTAGTTCAAGAATTTTGAAGGGTTATATTTATCCAAGAGAGTGGGTGCGACGCATTAACAACCACATGAATCAAATTAATAGTTATGTCATACAAAATAGCTACTAGAGAGTTGCTTTATTTTGATTTGTATTTATTTCTTAATAAAACATAAGAAATAAAATAAAAATTGGTCAAAACACAGAATTTTTAAAAGGAAACAATAAATATATTTTATAGAGATGTATAGTACTGTATCCACAACTTTCGTACTAACTGATCTAAGATTATTGTGCACTTGCCCTCCTTTTCATTCAAATATGTCAATTGTATTATATTTCTGTATGCTATGAAGTTATTATATAAAAATAATGGAACTGCTTTTATTTAAAACATGTCTAGATTTAAATATAATTCATATAAGTTTTAGTAAGGTTGAAATATATTATTCTTGTAATTTATTTAGACCCTTGGAGGGTTCAGAAATTGCTGATAATTGTTTGTTTAGTGTTAGAAGTAATCACCTATTTTATAATGGATATAAGTATCTATTTCAGATTAGATTGGAAACCTTTAATCAAATCCAATGTGGCATTAGGTGCTTCCTCTGGCAAATGTTCCAAAGAAGAACAATTGTTATGGGAACGGCAGAGAGTAGCAGCATGGGGCATTGCATCATATGAGCTCCATCAAGAGACGGGAAGGGTGTTGTTTCCTTGTGCATCGTCTCTGTTTGTCGCTGAGGAGGGAAGAGGGCAGGTATACTGAATTAATATTACAGATTTATGATTATTAAATATTCTTTTAAATTAAAAAAAATTCAATTGTGCTCGATGGTAACACTATACAGTAATACAGTCAAAATCTGTTATAACAACATCGAAGGGACTACTCATATTTGGTTGTAAAAACCGATAGATATACCTAATACAATAGAATTCAGTCGGGCCCTTTGATTTGGGTCATTATAACCGGTATGTTGTTCAGAACGATGTCGTCGTAAACGGTTTTGACTGTATTGTCACAACAGTCAGAGATTAAAAGACAGAGACAAAAAGAAAATTATAATCATTTTTTTTTAAATCTTATTTATTGAGAAAGATTTACAGCTTATTACTAACTTACTTACTAAATACATTGTTCTTTTACGCCATTAAATAAATCTTTACAAATAGTTAAGTACTACATACATGCAACCCTATTTTCACCCCTCTACGATCAACCTATTTTTTATTATTGTAGATACATAGTTATTTTTATTGAACTAAAAAAATGTTTTCTAGAAATAATATAGATGGCATAACAAACGTTTGCCGGGTCAGCTAGTAATGATATAAATTTTCACTTCACATTATAATTGTGTAAACAAATTTTTTTTTGACTCATTGAGTCTAAGGCCGACATAACGTTATTTTAATTGCGTATTAAAGTTTTTCTTTGAACAAAACCTGCTCCGTGCCCGTACAAGTTGTGTGCTATTGGTTCACCTTGTAATAGAGATTTATGGAAGTATATTTCGCGGCATTTAATGTCATTTGATGCTAGAAATTCTGCCTCGTTTTAATACCGCAAGAGGAGTCTTTTGGATCTTAAAGTCGTTGACGTACGATTTAAGATAGAAAAAAAAATAATTATACATACTAAAAAGGATGTTTTGTAAAAACAAATGTCTGGTGATGACAATTATTTCTATTTCTTTCACTAACAATTCTTTAAAAAATGTAGAATTTTTCCTTCTGTAAAGCATAAATTCTGAACGACCACAAAAATTGATAATTAAAATTCCGGCAAGCTTTTCTGATAATTTGCTTCAGTCCTTAAAACTATTGTATCAGATTATCAGAAAATTTGCATTTTCTATGTGATAGATTATATTATATACATTATCGAAAATTCAGCTTGCCGAAAACATTTTAAATGTGAGGAAAAATTCGTCTTAAAATCATCTGGTAACATGTTCGACAAAATTAAAACAAAAATCAAAACAAATTGTTTTAGTGTAAATTCTTATTTCAGTCACCGCCCATACTTCCCCGTTCCCTATCAACGGGGGGCGGAGCACCTTTAACACCAGCGATTTGCCCCAGTACAGCCCGTTTGGTGGCTCACGCAGCCCGAGGTGACATCTGGCTTGCTGGAGACTGTCTCGGGAGCCCTACGAGACTCACGTACGCCTGCAAGGGCAAGGATGATCGGTGAGAACCATTTTAATACTTTGCATGTTCCATGTATTTAGAAAGACAAAAAAAAAACGTGTGGCACTCGGGGACTGCCGCGGTAAAGCTATTGCATAGCATTTTTATCAACTTTTATTTTTTATTTATGCAGTTTTTTTTTTCTTTGATATTAATTAAATCTACCAGACTCAGACTAACACGCCTATATAGTCTGTCTCACTCTAACGCATACCGGCTGTACCGGCCGCGTTTACGCTACGTCACCGATCTCGTCATAGAAATGTGAGACGCAGTATGCGTTCTGTCCCGCTCTCACGCGTATTGGCCGCATCTATAATACGTCATCGTGTGTTAGGTGTATTTTCGTTAAAAGCTATGCAATAGTTTAAAAGAAAGTCAGAGAAAATACCACCTTCAATCTTACCCGTAGGGCTCTGTCTGTTACCTTAGGTCTCTTGGTGCAGACATCCCGTACTACTATTACTAATATAAAAAGTTATTTCGTTACATTCCTTCCCATGTTTTCAGCTTATTAGATGACCCATTACAAGCTGGTGTTCCATGTTATGTAACGCAGGAGGAATTCTCAAGGTATACAGGCTTCTGGTGGCAGCCGAAATGCGATGGTGAGTAGCTCTTTTCATCACAGTGTAGACGTTATTTGAGAGTAAGAGATGTTAGAGTTACCTACCGTCCCTATGTCGGACCATAAATGCTGGCATTTCCTCGCTGTATTGCAATACTGATTCGTTGCGGAAAGCACCAGCTCTAGGGTCATCGGTAGTACCAGCTGCTGGTAGCTGTGCACTTGAACCTCACGGCCCAAGAGTTTCTACTCCAAAGGGAATAAAATTTCCTTAATAAACTTTTCGTGAATAAGAATTATGAGAGTAAATTTTTACGATGCGCGCGCACACCGTCACTAATATCGACACAGAATATTTGTTCAAACGTCGGTAAAACAGTCTGGGCCGCTAGTTGGCGCTTGCTCTGTTTTATCGACAAGTTGCATTGTCTGTCATGTTATTTAAACCAAAATAATGATTTCTATACGAGAAAACCCGTTCCAATGTGATAAAAAACATAGTGTTTATTGTAAAATATCATGATTAGTACATATTATATCGTTTCGATTGGAAGTAACCATTAAAATGGACAAGAATAACGCAATTTGAAGTACTACTTTTCACGCGTGTACATAAGTACACACACTTTTTTTTATTCATTTATGTATCGTAGCTGTAGGATTACGAAATATATGAATTCATAGCGCTACCTGAATGTTTATGTTTGACGGTTGACAGTTGACTTTACGTTTTGACGGTTGTGTCAAATATTAAATCTGGCTGGCAAATTGTCAAAAAGTAATGGCGGGTCAGGTGACATTGGGAGAACTTTACTTCTTAAAGCAAATAGATTATATCTATAATAGTCAGACAAAATATATATATATATATATGTAGGAGAAATATATCGTCATTAGTGGACTTAGTGGGTGTCATGTGGGTAAAGTGCGAGCACAAAAGACACGAATTTAATTTAGATTTCCTTTTAACACTACAAATAACACTTTAGCTTGAATAACGAGCAGCTTGCACCGATCTCAATTTTAATCACATAGACCCAACTCGCTCCGACCTCATCACCACAATGCTCCAATTAATACTCAATCAGTACTGCGTTCCCTGAAGCACTGTCCAAAGTCAAGATGCTCTGCTCTGATTGGTCGTAACAATATTCGTTACGTACAATGATCCCAAACTAACAAATGGCAAATTAAATTATGATTCTTAAAACTATTCAAGTATTACGTAAGCAGATTAACTGCATTAATTAACACCCCCCCCGCAGTCTCTTGTCAGCAAAAGCAAAGCTCTCTAGTACATGCATCCTCGAAAATGCATTTCGTTCAAGCATAGACAATGTGTGGGTAAGAAGAAGTAAAAAATAATTACTGTTGACGTAATCACCAAATAAGAAAATCAGAGAATCTCCCTCCCCCCCATAGTGGTTAGGGAGCGTTCAAGTATTGCGTAACGAATTTTGGGTACAGAAAAACGTTACGGCGCGTTAAATGGGGGGGGGGTCAATAATCTCAAAAAATTGCGTGACGTAATACTTGAACGGCCCCGAATAGGAATAATCTCAATTATTAACCAAAGTAACAATAAAAATTGACTTGATCGGAACAGTTCCTGATAATCCGGGCATTCCCTAACATATATATATATGTTTTTTTCAGATGACATATACAGGATAGTGTACGAAGAAGTAGACGAAAGTGATGTCAAAATTTTCAGTTTTCCATCTTCTAACACAGCGAGTGGAGACGTTGATGAATTTAGGTATGCGAATTTTTTATAGAGTTTAATAATTTATTTAAAGGCCGGAAACGCACTCGTCCTCTGGCACTAAGAGTGTACATCAGTGTATCTCTTCAGATGAGACCATTTGCCCGTTTGTCCCTGTTCTATAAAACAAAACATCAATTCATTTATAGGCCGGCAACGCACTCGCTCTCTAGCATTAAGAGTGTCCATGGATGGTATTTATTTAGATGAACCATTTGCCCGTTTGTCCCTGTTCTATAAAAAAACATCAATTTTTTTTTTTGTCGGGCCCCCCCCCCCCCCCCCCCGGGCTTGGTGTGTGCGTGTACTAGAACTAAAAGTGTACATGACGTAATTAAGTGAAACGTCTTTATGACCTTATTAGAAACTATTTCTTTAAAAACAGGAACGTAAATTTTTATAGGCCGGCACTGCCTAGCATAGCATTAAGAGTGTCCATGGATGGTAATTAATTACATGAACCATTTGCCCGTTTGTCCCTGTTCTAAAAACAAAACAATTCATTTTTTGGCCGGGCACCCCCTCTTTTTTTTTTTTTTTTTTGGTTGGTGGGGGGGTGGGGGCATTTCGATTAGCAAATTTCAAGTCGAAAATTTTGTAATCCGTGTCTAGGTGTACAAACTTCAAGAAGTGAAACTTCTTTTTAACCTTATGACTATATGTCATATTTTAACGCAACGATAAAAATTTTGACTTCGAAAATTCAAGTCGAAAATGTAATCCGTTGTCAAACTTCAAAGTCAAAAACATACTATATGTCATATTTTAACGCCGATAAAGAAGTTTGACTTCAAAAAGCAATATGGCGCGTAACGGAAAAATGTGACGCGTAACGCAAAAATGTTACACTAAATTTTTTTCCAACCCCGATAAAGAAGATTCACTTCAATAAAAAGAGTGTCTATGGGTGGTATCACTTAACATATTGCCAGGCGCGCAAGTGCGTGGCCGGCCATTTAAGTTCTCATTAACCGTCGTTCAATTATGATTCCAGGTTCCCAAGAGCAGGCACACCCAATGCAAAGTCAGTTTTGAAGCTGGTGACATTTAGATTAACAAAATCTTCGCCTACCAACATGGCCGTCCGTAGAGTTTTAGGAGAGGGTAGGTCAAAATTTACAGATTTTTGCTTAGTTAGCGTCAAGAAACACATTTAAATACCTGTGGCAGTGTACCTTTAACGCTGGCAGTACTTCCTCGCTGTATTGCGATATTTATTCGTTGAGGAGAGCACCAGCTCTGGGGTCACCGGTACTACCAGGCGCCAACTTAAATCTTTAATTAGCTGTGCCCTTGAACCCCACGGCCCAAGAGTCTCCTCCAAAGGGAACAAAATCGAAGAGGAGATACTCTTATATTATTACTAGCTGATCCGGCAAACGTTGTTTTGCCATGTATATAATTTATAATAAAAATAGGGGTTGATCGTAGAGGGATGAAAATTAGTGGTGATATGTATTTTTTAATGCTGTATCATAAAAAAATAAAGAATATTTTTTTAATCTAAAATAAACAAAAATTTAGGGGTGGACTACCCTTAACATTTAGGGGGATGAAAAATAGATGTTGTCCGATTCTCAGACATATGCACACAAAATTTCATGAGAATTGGTCGAGCCGTTTCGGAGGAGTTTAACCACAAACACCGCGACACGAGAATTTTATATATTAGATTGCAAAAATTTAATAAGTTTATTAAAACCTAAACATAACAATGAAATATACATTTACAATTTTCTTAACCAACATAATAATAATAATAATTAAAAAATTAATACAAAGAAAATTAAAACAAATTTAAAAAGTTCCTCGCGGTATTTCGAAGATATGTTGGGGAAAGCACCATCTCTGGGCTCACTGGTACCATCTTTATAATATAATATTCATTCGATTATATATTTCGGCTGCTTTCGACAACTGCTTTGACAGTTAACGTTTCACGATAGTTGACATAGCGGCGCATACACATGAACAGACAGATAAATGTCAGTATAGGTCGGTTATCGAAAGCTGGCGCGTTCACAGTACTACTAATGCAATTTCACTATACAGTATGTTTAAAAATATGACCAGTCGCATCTGATGTCAAATTAAAATTTCAATTAACTGTTTTTATTAAGATGCTTAAAATAATTAAAAACGTTGTGCACCATTTCACGAGATTGCCCTGGTAATGTTTAGACGGAATATATTTCATAAGACATTTTTTTCAAAGTATTCTAACCTCCAACCAAATTAGTAAACATTGACAGACAAAATAATAATGAGAAAAAAAGATCAACATAAACAGTAGCAAAAGCAAAACAATAACTATCTCTTTTATACTCATAAGCTTGACCGAGCGCGATAGAGACGGACAGTCTTTTCATGATACATATTCAGTGTGACATCACGCCTCGCGCTTATTCACAGACACTACACAAGCACAAAGTGTAAATGTGTTGAAGCCGCCAGCTTTAGATAACGTACCAATAATGAATGTTTAGGAAGAACGAAAAACTTTACTACGCATAATAAAAATATATCATTAAAACAGGATTCCCTGTGTTCTTAGGTACTTGTAATAAATTCTACATAACAATAATATCCAGAAGAAATATAGTTATTTTTTTAAATCCCAAAATAATTTATAAAAATATACAAATGACAATTTTAAACGAAGAAACGTTGTACTATGAGCAGTATAACAGGTGGTCTGAACTAGAAAAAGCGTTCGAGCGGGCATTCTCACAGGTCTGAGAAAAGGAAGAAGTAGCTAAAGCTTAGGTTTTTTTAGCACCGCTTTTCTAGGAAACCTAAGCTTTAGGGACAAATGTAGAGAATACGCTGGAATAAATTCGGACTTATTACCAATTTTTTTTAAACAAACTAAAAATCATATTAATTTAACACCGTGTGAGGCCCGGCAAAGAGGGTAACAAGGTGGAAAAAGCCAAAGAAACGAGAGATCGCCCTAAGCTGACGAGCTAAAGGAAGTTAGTGGAGAAGATTGGGAGAAGAATTCTTAAGAGAGAGAAATGGATCCAATTGGAGGAGACCTTCATTGAGGTCCTTGAAAAAAAATTATAATTTATTTCTGGGCGGAAGCCCTTTATCATCAGAATCAGCCATGTCTTCAATAAGTTGTAATATGGGTAGGAACAAAAGAATCACAAAAAGTATCCTTTACAGCAATTCACTAAAATCTATTCACAAGTAATTAGGGAATCACTTAATCAATTAGTTTTGAAACAACGAGACACAAGATTACTCGGAACAAAAGCGATTCGTTGCAGACGTGGTGCACTCGCCGTTGACGTTCGAAAACTAAACAAAATCCAACATGGCCGCGCTGACCATCGACACGACGCTCCGCCAGACTGACAATTGTCAAATCTCGTTCCAACGTATTTCTTAACAGATGGCGCTAGGAATGCGCCGTCATATTTATTTTAAGTTGTGTGTATGTTTTGTAAATATTGCAAGAAATAAATGAGGCTTATTTATTATTATTATGTGACAGCCTCAGTTTTCAGCCCACCGATTACGGATATCACCCAACGCACGCGTTCGCTCGTACGCTCGTTCTTGACGCATCCAACCTCACCTCCAAGGGGACCTAGCAATGCCTTCTGCGCCTACATTCGTGAAGCATACAACATGTTATATATTTCAGCATCATCACCAACAGAAGGAATGGATGTAACGGATATAAGATGGTTTGAAATGAGGAGTCCGTTGAAGGAAGTATTCCCATGGTTCGAGTATCTCGCTCGCGTTGGATGGACTTCGTGTGGCCAATAGTGAGTTTTAATAAAAATTTATTTATTTTATTTTATTCCATATTATTCTATCTTTGGGAGCGTTCAAGTATTACGTAACGCGTTTTGGGAAGGGGGGTTCCTTTTTTAAAACGTTACGATGCGCGGCGGGGATTGAATTACGCGTTATTGTTAATATTATTTTCGACTTCACCACATAATAGTAACTAAAGAGACACAAGGTGGTCACGAAACGTTTTACTATACTTGAGAACAGTACTGTACTAGGGTACTGAAAAACGTTACGGCGAGATACATGGGGGGGGGTCAATAATCTCCAATCTTGACACACAGTGTACAAACAAATAGGTCTACCTCAACAGAAATTCTATTTATTGTATGTATTGCTCGCGTTAGTGAATATTTACCTTTTAGTAAATTTTGGTTTGAAGAGCGCTACAACCTTTTAGTGTGCCTTGGGTTTCTGTATCTGTTCCGTGATCATTATCATTCCAGAAATTTGAGGTCAAGCTGTGGGTTGTAGCGCCATTGTTTTTATTAAATCTAAATAATTATAATACCATCCGTATCACCTCGACGACCGCCGTTCCATAACTGAGCGTTTTCTAAGGCAGTTTTTGCCGAGCACCACCACTATGTGGAACCAGCTGCCCACTGAAGTATATCCGAATCAATTCGACTTAGGGTCCTACAAGAAAAACGTATACCAATTCTTGAAAGGCCGGCAACGCACTTGCGAGCCTTCTGGCAGTGTGAGTGTCCATGGGCGGCGGTATCACTTAACATCAGGTGAGCCTCCTGCCCGTTTGTCTCCTATTACATAAAAAAAAGGGTGCGTGTACTTATGTACGCGCGTAAGAAGTTATACTTCTTTGACTTTCTTTATTTTTTTTTAATATAATTAATATTTAACGTAAACAATTTAATAATATTTAATATTTAGTATATTATTCAATTATTAATTATTGTTACTAACAATTATTATTTATTATTTTATTATATTATTCATTCAATTTAATAACTTGGTATGTTTCATAACCTTTTAACTAAGTAACAATAGGTTTTTGTGAAAAAGCATTGCTAAATTTCTTTGAAAAAACAATTAAAACTCCTTTATTTGTTTAAAAGGTACATGTCATTATGGTCATTCAAAATTCTTGGCATAGCTGCTAACTTCACGCATATTCTATTTCTTTTTACTTGTAGATTGTCTTATTCCCATCTCGCTCGCGCACGCTATAATCACACTGACAACTTTGTGTCTCAGGTGCGCGCGCATCGTCAAATTTCACTCTCATCAATTTTTCATAACGCGCCTAAAGAAGTATAACTTCAAAAATATATATATTATTTATATTTGTATGTTATTTATTTTTCAAATTGAAATTAGACCCCATTATGCAGCTTTGAAGCAAGTCCTGCTACTTTTGTTCCCTTTCGTTGGTACGTTTTAGGAACACCAACTTTGTTCGTTTTTTCAGTGTTTGGGCGCAAATTCTAGATCGTAAGCAACAGAGATTGGAATTGGTGCTCATACCTTTGGTGGAGTTTAATGTTTCATCACATTATTCGCATGGAGAAACGCAAAGTGATGATCTAACACAAATGAGCGAACAGAACAAAATTGAACCTTCTGTGAGTTTTTGTATTTAATAAATAAATTATAAATTAGCAATGAAAGTGGTACATACAAATTGATTCAAAGTCAAAATCTTTTATTGATAAAGGTAACACAATGTACACATATGAAATGCTTCTAATTTTACATTAACTGCCAGTTCTCAAATCAAGGGCGTAGAACGGAAGAGAAGAACTGGCAATAAACTCTGCGCCACTCTCTTTAATTGCCAAGTTTTTCACCATGTTCCACATGACATCTTAAGTAATTAATAATAATAAAATAAATCAAAAACAAAGATTTGTCCTCTATTTCTCACTTACATTCTCGTGGGTAAGTGCGTGCTCTTATTTCACCTTATATTTTAATTTAGGATTAATTATAAAATCCCCACAATTAGCCATATTAAATAGGCATGTAAATGTCATATTAATTATAAGTCATTTATATCTGTTGTCAAAACTTATGGTCCGAATACTCTCCCTTTAAAGACACCTTACCTTTAAATTTAATCACCGTCGTTCCACAACGTTGTCTATGTGAAACCAGCCCATTGAAGTATTTCCGAACCAATTCGACTTAGGGTCCTTCAAAGAGCGTACCAATTTTAAAAAGGCCGGGATTAGCCTTCTGGCATTGTCCATGGGCGGTATCACTTAATATCATGAGCCTCCAGCCGGTTTGCCCCCTGTTCTAAAAAAACAACGTGTGGCACTCGGGGACTGCCGCGGTAAAGCTATTGCATAGCATTTTTTATCAACTTATGCAATTATTATTTTTTCTTTGATATTAATTTAATCTACCACTCAGCCAAACTCAGACTAACACTCACAGTCTCACTCTAACGCGTACGTCACCGATCTCGTCAGAGAGATGTGAATACGCAATATGCGTTCTGTCCCACTCTAACGCACCTGCGCCACGTCACCGATAACGCCAGACCGATGTGAGACGCAGTATGCGTTCTGTCCAGCTCTAACGCGTATTGGCCGCTCCAATATTACGTCATCGTGTGTTAGGTTTATTTCCGTCACGGAATTTCTTGATTCGGTCGCCACGCTCAAAGCCCGCGATAATAGCTTAAAAATGTCGTGAATCTCATCCTATAAATCTATAAGAATTGTTAATCTTTCAGAAAATCCAAGTGCTAGTAAGAGAGACAGCCCCCGATGCATGGATCAATGTTCACGACATATTCTATCCTCTAACTAATTGTACGAGTTGTACGGGTACCAATTGTACGTGTGGCACTTTTAAGTTCATTTGGGCTTCAGAGGAGACCGGTTTTTTACATTTATATCTGATCACATCTAACATACAACCGGATAAAGCAAATGGTAAGTAACTGACATAGCATTAAGATATATCTATAAAATATTATAAAGAGGAAAGATTTGATTTTTTGTTTGTTTGAAATGAATAGGCTCCAAAACTACTGGACCGATTTCAAAAATTCTTTCACCGTTGGCAAGCTACACTATTCCCGAGTGACATAGGCTATGTTTCATTTCCAAATGCTTACTAAAACTTGATTAATCTAACCCAAGGTGTAAGAAAATAAACAAAAAACTTCCTTCAATCGCATGCGCTACGAAAACTATTAATGATAGAACAAAATGATGTATTACAATTTTTCAGGACACATCACTATCTATCAAAAATATCGCGACAGCATGTCTCCATCTTTTATAGTTACGTCACAATAAGCGTCCTTTTATTAATTTTTTCAATAATCTTAAAAAATTGCGTTACGTAATACTTGAATGCTCCCTTTTACGTAAACGTTATAACTTCAAACTTGAGCAAAGGAATTGCTCATGCGCATGTGTTTCGACCATCTCTCTTCGGGCAGTTGTTCGAGTCAATTCGTAAACAACCGAACGAGTCAAATAAGTAACGATTGCACATGCGCACTTGTAGCCAAGATTCTTAAGAATATGTTTCATAAATAGATATTAAAAGCTAACACAATAACACATAGATTGTTCTTTGAGATATCAAAGAATATTTTCTTTAAAGAAGAGAAAATTAGAAATACCCTCATAAACAACAATTAAATGCGGGTAGTTTTGAATACAGGTATTGAAGAAATGCTGTCAGAAGACGAAAACAACGCGAGTGGACCAAACATCATCAGTAAAGAGGCGATCACGTCTGGTGATTGGGAGGTTATGGGGAGGAAGATATGGGTAAGTGAACATCAACTACCTGCCAAAAGCGTGATGCTAAAGAGGTTCGAGTCCTGGTGAAGCAAAACCGGTCCAGAATCATAAGACGACGGCGTCTGTCAGGCACGCTGATCACCTGGTTATTTATTAGATACGATAGAGCGTACCAATTCTTAAAAGGCCGGCAACGCATTCGCGAGTCCTCTGGCATTGTTAGGCGGTATCACTTAAGAGAAGCCTCCAACCAGTGTTCCCTTTAAAAAATCACAAAACTAATACAGAAATTTGAGGCCCAGGCCTAAAAGGTTGTAGCACCAATGGTTGTGCCCAATAACAGGAGAAAATATAAATGGCTGTAAATGACCATCCATTCAGACACCCTAAAAATCAAAGGTATTTCATCAAAATCTACTGAACTGCTGAACTGATTTTGATGAAACTCGGACTGTTCCCTAAACTGGAGTATACCGGAAATCATCAGCACCGTGTCATGTCCTTGGGAGCTTAATACATTTGAAGAATAAGAGCAGATTAATAGACCATATCCATAGGTGGACGAAACCCGTGACCTGGTGTACTTCGTTGGTCTTCGGGAGACACCACTGGAGCGGCATTTGTATGTGGCTTCTTTATCACCATCAGAGTCTGGGATTACTTTGCTTACAACAGTTGGTCACTCGCATACTGTTGATATGGATGATGTAAGTACACACACATATAGAGATATATATATATATAAGAAAAATGGTCTTCGTTTGAGGCTCCTTCACGCCTAAACCACTGATCGTATCGACATGAAACTACCACCATTCAATGTGAAATTTGGTTCCTAGGTGGTTTATGGGTATTTATTTTTTAAATTCGAACTTTCCTTCATTTTTTTATTGCTGTTTTACTTTTATGAAAATTTATCCATACGGACTTCACCGCGGAAACATTCGGGGAGGCTTCCTAGAACCTCAAAACGTCAGCATCTGTTAAAAACTCAATTTTCTTAGCGGGAAGTTAAAAAGAAGAATAATAAAAATATGAAAAAAAAAAAAATAATGAAACATAAAATTTTATTTATTTCCTATTTTAATTCGCCCAGCGAAGCGGGCGGGAAACGGCTAGTATCCTATATATAAAATTCTCGTGTCACAATGTCAGTTACCATACTCCTCCGAAACGGCTTGACCGATTTTTATCAAATTTATATGCATATGCATATTTATATGCGTCTGAGAATCGGCTACTATCTAGTTTTCATACGCCTAAGTGATAAGGGTTGTCCAGTATCCACCCCTAAATTTTAATTTTTTAGATAATTTTTTGGTTTTTTTTTATGATACAGAATACAAAAATTCATACAACCCTTTTTCACCCCTCTGCGATCAACCCCTATTTTTTATTTGTTAATTAAAATCTTATGCCTTATGAGGTTTATATAGAGAAAATTTCACAAAAAACCCTAAAAAGGTTTCGTAAACCCTAAAGTCAAAAACATACTATATGTCATATTTTAACGCCGATAAAGAAGTTTGACTTCAAAAAGCAACATGGCGGTTAACGGAAAAATGTGACGCGTAACGCAAAAATGTTACACTAAATTTTTTCCAACCTCGATAAAGAAGTTTCACTTCAAAAATATAATAATAATAATAATTTTTAAATATTTCTAACTTATAAAGTTATACACTGTTATTCGTTCTAATTATCTGTTATTATAAACATTTATTTACTATAATATTTTGTTCTTATTGCTTAATCACATAATATATATATGTACTTAAGTAGGTATAAATTAAAAAAAATTTTACATATTAAAGTAGGTTTAATTATATTATCTTAAGTAATTTACAGATGAGATCTATTAAAGTGAAACTTCTTTATCGGAGTTGGGAAAAAATTTACGTCACGTGACGTCGTCACATTTTTCCGTTACGCGCCATCTTTTTCTTGTCCTGCGATTTCGGATCCAGTTTATTGATTATAGTTGCAAGATTTGTTGTTTGTGAAGTTTGCCTACCTCTGAAAACTAACTTCAGGCTTACCGCAACGTACTGTTGGATAATTTTTTTCACGTTATATTTAATTAATATTGTTATAAATAAAAATTATGGTTTTAAATCATTATTATTTATGTCAAAAACCGTGTAGTGCGTTCATAAAATGTATAAAATTTATATTAATAACAAAAATAAGCCTGCTTATTTTCCTCCCATAAAAAATATGATTAACTTTTCAGGATTGCACAGTGGCAGTAATAACATCGTCCAATATAAGCAGTGTGCCTGTAACGAGGGTGTACAGCGTGTGTCATACAGGCGGACGTGTCACATTGACACAGTATGGTTCACTCTTAGAAAGGCCTATGTTAGGTTAGTATTTAAATTATACAGGGGTACATTACAGCTGTTTTCTTTAGATATATATAAATTCGTCAATCGTACGCTAATTAGTTAACTAAGTGCAGTATCCAAGACTTGACAGTTGACATTGACAGACAACTAGTTGACAGCTGGTACTTAACAATTTATTGACGTTTGTTGCAATGAAGTAAAAAAGATTTGTTTTGTCAAAATTATCCTACAATTTATTTTGCTACTCACTAGTCCAGTAAACTTGACAGTTGACATTGAGAGATGACAGCGTACACTACAGTTGATTGATGGTAAAATGAAGTAAAAACAAATTGTTGTCACAATTATCCTACAATTTATTTTGCTACTCACTAGTCCAGTAAACTTGACAGTTGACATTGAGAGATGACAGCGTACACTACAGTTGTGATGGTAAAATGAAGTAAAAACAAATTGTTGTCACATTTCCTACAATTTATTTTGCTACTCACTAGTCCAGTAAACATGACAGTTGACTTAGTCACTCACTACAGTTGATTGATAGTGAAATGAAGTAAAAATTGTTGTCACAATTATCCTCAATTTATTTTGCTACTCACTAGTCCAGTAACATGGCAGTTGACATTGAGAGATGACAGCTCCTCAGTTGATTGATGGTAAAATGAAGTAAAAACAAATTGTTGTCACAATTATCCTACAATTTATTTTGCTACTCACTAGTCCAGTAAACTTGACAGTTGACATTGACAGATGACAGCGTACACTACAGTTGATTGATAGTAAAATGAAGTAAAAACAAATTGTTGTCACAATTATCCTACAATTTATTTTGCTACTCACTAGTCCAGTAAACTTGACAGTTGACATTGAGAGATGACAGCGTACACTACAGTTGATTGATAGTGAAATGAAGTAAAAACAAATTGTTGTCACAATTATCCTACAATTTATTTTGCTACTCACTAGTCCAGTAAACTTGACAGTTGACATTGAGAGATGACAGCGTACACTACAGTTGATTGATGGTAAAATGAAGTAAAAACAAATTGTTGTCACAATTATCCTACAATTTATTTTGCTACTCACTAGTCCCGTAAACTTGACAGTTGACATATTTTGACAGATGACAGCGTACACTACAGTTGATTGATGGTAAAATGAAGTAAAAACAAATTGTTGTCACAATTATCCTACAATTTATTTTGCTACTCACTAGTCCAGTAAACTTGACAGTTGACATTTGACAGATGACAGCGTACACTACAGTTGATTGATGGTAAAATGAAGTAAAAACAAATTGTTGTCACAATTATCCTACAATTTATTGTACTACTCACTAGTCTAGTCGCGTTGTGCTGTGCTAACTTGACAGTTGACACTTACAGATGACTAGTTGTAGACTAAACAGCTGGCACTTAATATTATATAAATTAATGTTGCAATAAAGTCAAAAATATTTGTTGTAAAAAATTTCCTAATATTTCTAGCAGTGTGCAAGAAATGACATTTGTGTTGATATTTGACTGTTGACTGTTGACAGCTGTCAACTTGTTTGTTTAAATGACCCGATTATGTAGCTATTTTATTCATTTTCTCATAATTATACTGAAATTTAAAGCCATGGTAAGCCTACAATAGCGCATGCAACCAACTTTTAAATATTGTGTCTGCTTAAAATGAGAAATGAAATGTTTCAGATTGCCTAGACCCCCCATTTAATGGTACATGGGACAGAACGGGCGATGGGGACGAGAATAATGATGTCTCATTACTTATCAAAGGTATTTATCGTATTATCTACTAGCTTTCGTGTGCGTTTGAACCTGGGACCAAGGGTTTTTGAAGGAGGTTTTCATTTATCCAGTATTCCAGCTCGACTGTGGAGGATGGTGTCTCCAACTTAAAGGTTGGAACCGCGACCAGTCTGATAACTGTCTGGTCCGAATTCTGGATAATGAAATTTTATAGTTATTATCTGACCCGGCAAACGTTGTTTTGCCGTGTATATTATTTCTAGGAAACATTTTTTTAGTTCAATAAAAATAACTATAATTAAAAAATAGGGGTTGATCGTGGAGGGGTAAAATAAAGAAAAAAAATTTTTGCTGAAAAAATAAAAATATTTTTTTAGGATGGACACCCCTTATCACTAGGTGTTTGAAGGATAGATAGTTGCTATCTACTACTAAAAATGCATAAAAAACTTCATAAGAATCGGTCGAGCCGTTTCGGAGGAGTACGGGAACGAACGTTGTGACACGAGAATTTTATATTTTAGATTATGATTATTGGTTTCATTATTTATATACAGGGTTTCCCCACGATAATAATAATAATAAATCGATTATTTGCAAAGAAATTGGTAAATTCAGATTGATTAATAATAAAAACCGCACAATCAGATAAAAAAATAGCCCTGCAAAATCATTTATAACTGTTGTCAAAACTTATGGTCTAAATACTCTCCCTTTAAAGACACCTTGCCTTTAAATTGAATCACCTAAAGCATTAAGGTTTGGTCAAACATAGGACGGCGACGCGACGCTGGCGTGACGTGGGCATTTGTCATTTACAAATTAATATAAGAATTGTCACACAGAGACAATACAAGCCCCGTTATACCGTGCTTGTCTTTTTTGAAGTGAAACTTCTTTAGGCGCATGTGGGTAATTTTTTTACGGATGAAACGCAATAATAATATTAGCGTCACGAAGATGTGCAGCGTCTTTATAGAATAAAAGAGAGAGAGCGATTGAGACCGATTGAAAGAGAGTGAGAAAGGGCGAACGTAGCATGAGGCAAATAGCCATGGAGCGAGAGTAGGGAGCAAGCAAGTGAGAAAGATCGAGAGAGAGTGAGATAGAGCGAACGTCGCATCACGCACAGTACCATGGAGCGAGAGGTGGGAGAGAGCTATAGTGCGTATGATTGAGAGAGATAGTAAGGGAAATCGAGAAAAAATACACGCTATTGGTTGATGTATTCTAGTTATTAGAACTTTCGATGGCAAATATAAGTCTTGTGCAGTAAACGCAGATTTTTTAAGTTATCCTTCTTTAGGCGCGTTATGAAAAATTGATGAGAGTGAAATTTTATGATGCTCGCGCACCGTGACACAAAATTAACAGAATGAAGTTGCCCACGGAAGATGCTACGGCATTGGACATAATTTAAAAACAACATTCGAATAATAATAGAATTTATGTTAAACTTAATGTAAGAGAACCTAATCTTTATGATTTTTTTTTTTTTGCGCATAGTTGTTGAAAATTTTATTTTATTTTATGTTTATGTTAAAAAATTTATTTTATTTTAATGTGTGTTGATTGTCGTGTGTGTTTTAGTTGTGTTTTTTTTTTTAATTTCTATTTGATTTTATTACTAGAAACTTATGCTTGCATTAACTGTACACATTTTAGATGTGGGATTTTGTGAAATAGTTGGTGGACTTATGACTGTGTGTGATGTTGTGGGCTTTATAACTAAATAAATAAATAAATAAATAAATAAAGAGAATAATAATAAATACTTATTTATTTAATTTTTCAAATGTAAACTGAACTGTATTGACTATAATGACTCCTTTTCCAGTCTTTTATTTAATTGTAATTAATTATTGGATGCAATCAAAAACTATTTTTAATAATGCCAAAGAAGTATAACTTCTTACGCGCGTACGTAAGTACACGCACCCTTTTTTTATATATTTATATTATCATTATCTCGTATACATAGTGTGAGTATAGATATACAAATACATGGAGTGATCATATACTGGTACATGATCATCTATTGGGGCTTTTAAATAATTAATTTAAAAAGAAGTTTCACTTCTCACATGTTTACTTTGTACGCATTTTTTTTTTGTACAAAAACTTTGGATGAATTTCAGAACGATCTCTCAGCACCATAGAAGTGCCACCACCGCAGATATACTCCACCCGTCTCTCTTGTGGGATGACGGCGTATTGCACCCTCTGGCGAAGTGGGCATGTGGGACCCAGGCCTACAGTTTTGCACGTGTATGGGGGACCCGAAGTTCAAATCGTCACTAATAGTTATAAGGTAAGGAGATACGAATAATTATTTTAAAAGGGACGGCAATGCAGCTACTAATATGGTGGTCCGTGGGTTGTCAGAGCTACGCCATCTTGTCTACAGAAGTGTTAATAATTTTAAGAATAAAACATGATTTTGTCTCTTTCTGTCGAACTGTGTTTAAGCTGTGGTGAAAAGAGAAAGGTATAGTTGGGTTGCAATTTTAGTGATTCGTTGTTAACATTATTTATAAAAAATGCACTGAACTAGTCGTCTCTTTCTCTCAAAACTGCTTTTTAGCTGTGGTGGAAAGGGGGGGGAAAAGTTTGGTGGGGGGGGGGGTGATGTAGTTGGGTTGCAATTGGAATTATTCGCTAACAAACTTATTTATTTAAAAAAATGCACTCGATTAGTCGTCTCTTTCTGTCAAACTGTGGTGAAAAGAGACAAGTATAGTTGCTTACCTGATGATAAGTATTACCCTCCATAGACACGTTCAACGCCAGAGAGCTCGCCAGTGCGTTGCCGACCTTTTAATTAATGTTTTTTTTACTGTAACGGGGTTGGGGGGGGGAGCGGGGGGGGGGGGGTGACGGGGGGGGGGGGGGGTCTATCTGATTATAAGTAATATCCCCATAGACACGTTCAACGCCAGATAGCTCGCGAGTGCGTTGCCGTTAAATCTTTCAAAGTTTTGTTTTATGTGTCAGGAGGCTCACCTGATGATAAGTGTTACCTCCATAGACACTTTCAATGCAAGAGGGCTCGCGAGTGCGATGCCGACCTTTAATAAAATGAATATAAAATTATTTCAGGGTATACGCCAGTTACGCATGCATATGCTAGCGGCGCGAGGTTTCACGGTCGTATCTGTTGATTCGAGAGGCTCGAAGCATAGGGGCAGGGCCTGGGAGGCTGCTATAAGGGGCAAAATGGGGCAGGTCGAGTTGGATGATCAGGTAGAGAACTGTTTTTTTTTTAAATTTCCGTTCATTGGAAGAGATTTCCAAACATTTACTCAGTTTTTAAGTGACGTGTAAGTTTGTCCACAAATTTATCGGAAACTAAAAGTCATATTATTAACCCTTTTCGATTTAAATCAGGGGAATTTCATCAAAATCGGTTTAGTAGTTTAAATACGATACGTATTTTTTATGTAATATGAGGCAAACGGCTCACCTCATGTTGAGTGATAGAAGCCAGAAGGCTCGCAAGTGCGTTGCCGCCTTTCAAGAATTGGTCCAACTCTATCGCGAGTTTCATCAAAATCGATTCAGTAGATTCTCTCATCTATGTATTTATATAAAGTATAGAGTTATTTGATTGCGTTTCTTTAAATACAGGGTGTTTTTCAGGTTGAGGTGCTACAATGGCTCGCTAAAGAAACAGGGTGTATCGATATGGAGAGAGTTGCTATCCATGGATGGAGTTATGGTAAGACCTTTTTACATCCTTATTTTTGAAGTTATACTTTTGGTGCGTTAGGAAAAAATGATGAGAGTAAATTTTTACGATGCGCGTACGCACCGTTACAAAAAATCTACGCCTAAAGTTAGCTATAGTCAATATTTTAGTTTTTGAAGTTATACTTTTTTGGCGCTTTAGGGAAAAATGATGAGAGTAAATTTATACGATGCGCGTGCGCACCGTCACAAAAAGCCGACACCGTCTCATTTTTATTTTTATTTACGTTTGATCTGCTGCTTACAGCCTGTCCGTTTTTCATTTATAAAATGCATGTAAAGTCGGTTTACGGACGATAATTTTTCGTGATAACGTCATAAAAATATTGACGAAAAACTTTATAAACAGTTGACAAAATTACGTATTGACACGCTGTCGCTGTCTCTCTTTTACTTCGGCATCGGCCGAAGGAGCGAAAGAGAGATGCGTCGCTAGCCAAACGCTCTGATCGTGCCTCTCTATCGCTCGTTTCGCGCTCTCACTTGCACGCTCGGCAAAGTTTTTTCGTACGTGCCACCGGCATGCACCAATTACCTTCTAAAAGTGTTATTAAGTGGCAGCTAGGTGAGGGGTACCGGGTTCGATTCCCGGTTCGAGGGCAAGTTTTTATTTAATTTAAATTTGTTCTCGGCCTTTGGGAGGGTTGTGCGGTACCGGGCGAGTTCTTAAACCGCACATGGAGGACACGGTCGAATTTCTAAAGACAAGCACGAATTATAAAAATCTTATACTTGACGCTGGCTAATGCACAAATCGTGCCAGAGACATTAAAAATTTTTTTTTTATTATTTATTATTCAAATTACAGGTGGATATTTATCCCTCTTAGGCCTGGCGACACGTCCGCACATATTCAAAGTGTGTGTCGCGGGCGCGCCCGTCACCAGTTGGCGCTTGTACGATACAGCGTACACGGAACGCTACATGGGGTCACCCAGTGAGAGGCATAACGCGTACAGCCGTGCTAGCGTCATACCGCACGCGCCGTTCTTCCCTGATAGGTGAGTTTAAACCCCCCTAACTATCTATTTTAACATCTCTGAAAGATTTACAGATAAAATCGTGTAACGGGGAATTTTAATTAAATATAATCTAATAAGTAAAATTATCAAAAAACTGCGTACAAAGTACACAATGTCAGAAGTGAAACTTCTTTGGCAAAATAATTTTTAAGTCTTGTTCATATTTATACAAATCTAAAACTAAGTTAAAAGTTTTAAAGTCTCTCTCTCAATCTTTCTCACTATATCTCTCTCCCACCTCTCGCTCCATGGCACTGTGCGTGATGCGACGTTTGCTCTATCTCACTCTCTCTCTCGATCTTTCTAACTTGCTTGCTCCCTACTCTCGCTTCATTGGTATTTGCTTCATGCTACGTTTGCCCTTTCTCACTCTCTCTAAATCGGTCTAATAATATTAGCGTCACGAAGATGTTCAGCGTGTGCATCCCAAGAAAAGGAAGAGACGGATTGAGAGAGAGTGAGAAGGGCGAATTATAGAAATTCTATTTTTAAAATTAAAATTTCGTAAAGAGAATTAATGAAATATTAGTATTTTATATTTTATGCAAAATAATTTATTGAAATCTCAAATGACGAATTGTAAATTAAAATGCCACGTGTTTTTATTAATTTAATATTTTAATGACAATTAAATTAATTAAATTCCTAACATATCTTCCTTTTTCCCTCCCTCTAAGTCTCGGAAATCTAAAGTTTTAGATTTGTATAAATATGAACAAGACTTAAAAATTAGTTTGCCAAAGAAGGGGAAATATTTAAGCTCTAATGTGAACCTCTAAAATATTTATATAAAATATTTTACAGGGAGGGTAGACTGTTAATAATCCACGGACTGGCTGATGAAAACGTACACTTTTGTCATACTGCGGCGCTGCTCTCGGAATTGGTTCGACTTGGAAAGCCGCATAGAGTTCAGGTATCAAGATTTTTTGTGTCTACCCACATATTTTATTTAAAATTACAGATTTTTGCGTTTTTGTTCCATCTCAGGATTGAGAAAACCAACTTTACTTCTAGTAATACTGAAATTCATTAATTCGTAAGTCCATTTATTCTATTAAATTAATTATTTTTTGTCCTTTTTTATATATTTTATGACGCATTGTCCTGTAACGCTCATTGTCCCGTTACGCTCATTGTACGCTTGCACCGCATCTATATCTCACTAGATTGGCCTATGCGTCCGAGGATTCACTCCTTTGTATTCTAACACAATAGTGATAATTCAATAAAAAAATAACAATTTTAATCATAAATGTTTGCAATCATTTTATCGATGTATTGTTATGACGTTGTTACGTTAAACCGACTTTACAGAGAACCATTTGTTTTTTAATTTTACCAGTAACTGGCCTAAGATACTGATTAATTCGTAACGTATCTGTTTTTTTTTTTATTTTAGAAGTTATACTTCATTTGCCGCGTTAGAGAAAAATTATGAGTAATTTTTTTTCTATTGTTAGTGTCGTTTTTTCTACAAACGTAGAATAACAATTTTGAAAAGATTTTTTGAAGTTATACTTCTTTAGGCTCGTTATGAAAAATTGATGAGAGTAAAATTTTACGATGCGCGCGCACCGTGACAAAATTATCAGTGTGGGCGACGAGCGTGCGTGAGCGAGATGGGAATAAGACAATCTACAAGTAAAAAGAAATAGAATATGCGTGACGTTAGCAGTTTTGCCAAGAATTTTGAATGACCATAATGACATTTGTAGTACCTTTTAAACAAATAAAGGAGTTTTAATTGTTTTTTCAAAGAAATTTTGCAATGCTTTTTCACAAAGACCTATTGTTACTTAGTTAAAAGGTTATGAAACATACCTAGTTATTAAATTGAATTAATAATATAATAAAATAATAAATAATAATTATTTTTAATATTAATTAATAATTGGATATTATACTAAATATTGTTAAATTATTAACGATAAATATTGATTATTAATTATTTAATATTTTAAAAAATAAAGAAAGCCAAAAAAGTATAATTTTTACGCGCGAGAAAGCACATTTTTGTAACGCCAAAGAAGTATAACTTCAAACGCTTATATTTTTTTGTAATTTTTTGTGTTATTATTGTTTTTTTGTCGTTTTACAATAGGAAAAACCCCCCCCACACCCAAACCCCTCGTTTTACGATATTAGGGTTGAAAAAACCCCCTTTAATAACATCATTTTGTATTAAATTAATTATTTTTTATCCAGTTTTTTTTAATTAAACTGAAATTCCGATTAATTTGAATTATAAATAATAGCTGTTTTTTTTTTTTAGGTATACCCCGGCGAGCGTCACTCCCTCCGTACAATGCACGCGGCTAAACATTACGAGGCAACCTTATTGCATTTTCTACATGAGAACCTGTGAATTTGTATAATATAATATATTGTTATTGAGTATTTGTTTTATTTTAATTAAAAAATTGCCCGAGACAAACTAAATAAGTATTTTGAAGTTAGCTACTTTTTTTACCTATTGATGCTTGTAGGATTTAGACAATGTTTCTACATGAATATTTGTACAATTTTAGCCGATGCGCGTGTGACTCAACGTCTACTGAACTAAAACCGACACCGTGATTTAAATAGTTAGCAATATATAAAGTTGCATGCTAAAATAAATAATGTCAATTTCTTTAATTATGTAGTATTTTTTTGTGATATTATAAATCAACTTTATTTAATTAGATAATGCATTATAATAAAACTTTCAATGTATTAAATACCTTTTTTCTTTTTTACGCCAAAGCAGCATAGGTTAACCGTGTACATAGAGGGTTCTTTTATCAAGATGCGTGATGGTGGGACTCGCTTATAGGTTTGTGCAGGAGTACGTCCATAAAACACGCCACGGCTGCCCCCGCCATCAAAAACCCAGTCTTTCGAAACGCGAAGCCTTTTTCTCACAATCCAGCCACGCATAATGAGTGCACTAAAATCGAGTTAAATATTCTATCAAGCACATATGGTGTCCTTCTACGACCAATTATTTTGTTTAACATAGTAAATAATTACATTAAAATCAATCATTCTTGGACGGTCTGTGTTATGGACCATGTATGTGGCAGAGCAATGGTCGACTCTTTCGTAACAGAATACTTTCTTCTTGTATATAATTTATACCCTGGGGAGGCCGAGTTAATATTGGTGTTCTAAGTACTGTTAGTTATTTGTAAAAAACTAAAATACGACTGCGTCAGCATCCTTCTTATATACATTTATTTGAGCACCTTTTTCCTCCCCCTGGAGCTACTGCGCGCCACTATATATTTTTGTATTATACTAAGTAGGTTGTAAGAAGTAAAAAGAAATGGAAACGACTGGGTTTTTTAAACCGGTGAACGACCGGTATGAGGCGTGCACTTTTGGATCTTCTCCAAACTTAATACTCTTATTATGTGTGCATGGCTACTTTAATTGTGGATGCCATGCTACTGAACAATGCTTTCACCAAACTTTTGCCAAGGATTCTTTAAGCAAGACGTGCGTCTGCGGCCAGTTCTTCTTTATTATTTATTTTACAAACACTTCGTTGCAAGTTTACAGAAGTACAGTACAATTAAAATTATTAAATTAAAAGTCGGGCAACCGCCGGCACCAGGCGAGCTCTTATAAGGGAGCTAAAGTATTACGACGTATTTTTTTCCTTTTGTAAAACGTTACGATGCGGGGCGGGGATTGAATAACGCGATATTGTTTATATTATTTTCTACTTACACCACATAATAGTAAATAAAGAGTCACTAGGTGGTCATGAAACGTTATACTGTACTTGAGTACTGAAAAACGTTACGGCGAGTTCATGGGGGGGGGTCAATAATCTTCAAAAATTGCGTTACGTAACACTTGAACGCTCCCCAAACTGTGTAAAAAAAATTATAAAAGGTGAGCGCAACAAGTGCAAACCTACATAAGACATATAGTTATTTAGACAAAGTGCAACTATGAATGAAAAGTAATAGTTAGGGCTGGATTTAGAGGTCTGGAGACTTGGAACAAACCAGTGCCTTGCGCTAAATTATTTTCCAAATAAAATGAACATTTTTGAAGTTATACTTCTTTAGGCGCGTTATGAAAAATTGATGAGAGTGAAATTTTACGATGCGCGCGCACCGTGACACAAAATTAACAGAATGAAGTTAGTGACGCATGTTGGCACGCACGCCGCACTTTATTGACTATAATGACTCCTTTTCCAGTCTTTGATTATTTAATTGTAATTAATTATTTGCATGCAATCAAAAACTATTTTTAATAATGCCAAAGAATTAACTTCTTACGCACGTACATAAGTACACGCACCCTTTTTTTTTTACTATTAATATAAAAAATACTTATTCCCTTATATAATTGACCTATTCTTTTATTGATAATTGTATTTTAATTTATTATAATTGACAGTGAAATAAAAATAAAATGGCAGAGTGACAGCACACTTGTTCTTTATTTGTTGCGTCTTCCAAAAGTAGTTTTTAATATGGCTGGCTTTGGCTTATATAGACTCATCCCCTCCAAGTGGCTGGCATTTGCGGTTGGCAGGCATGGCATGGCTTGGCTTTGGCTTTGGCTTTGGCTTTGGCTTTGGCTTTGGCTTTGGCTTTGGCTTGGCTTTGGCTTTGGCTTGGCTTTGGCTTGGCAGGATGTGACTGGCGACGTCACGTCCGTTACACTTAATAATGCGGACTACGTACCTTTTGATCAGCCCACAAAATATTAAATTTTACATTAATTCCGTAGAAGTACAATTTTACTTTGTAAAATAATGACTTTGCAAAACTGCAGATAGGAAGTAATCATTGCCCGGCAGGTGCCTTGCGATTCTGTAACTCACTTTTCGAACTCTCACAGCGGTTTTCGCAACGGCTGTCGCGCTCAAATCAGTCGTGAAGCAGTCATTTTACGATTTGGCATTCTGATAAAATTCAAAAATCATTTAATCATATGGGTAGCACATTGTACACTTATGACTTGTCAGCAAAGAAATACATAATATTAATGCTTCTAATTTTACATTTAGTGCCAGTTCTCAAATCAAGGGCGTAGAACGGAAGAGAAGAACTGGCAATAAACTCTCCGCCACTCTTTTTAATCGCCATGTTTTTTTATTTTTTTTACACAACGTTTGTAAGGAGCTGCAACCATTAAACCATGTTCCACATGACATCTTAAGTAATTAATAATAATAACATAAATTAAAAACAAAGATGTGTCCTCTATCAGCAGGAGGCATGATAAGGAGGGAGCTTGTAGTTTATTATTTATCAGAATGCCAAATCGTAAAATAATTCTACGCCCTTGATTTGGGAACTGGCAGAAAATGTTAAATTAGAATCGCGTAAAATACACAAAGCAATATCAACATCCTTATTTACTTATGAACAAAGCTTTAACTTGGACTTTTCCGCATACACTGATTGTTGAACAGGAATATCGGATCACTTCGCCTGACATAAAGCTTTTTATAAATTTGACGAATATTTAAATGATGAAGGAAATCGTCAAAAGCAACATATATCAGTATATATATATATATATATATAATTTCTTTCAGTATAAGTATCATTATCTACGGTGAGCATAAATAATAAAAATATCAAAAAGAGAGAAGAAAAAAACTATAAATTTTAGTTTTTCTGTTTTATTCGCCTGATGCGTATTACGGACCCAATACGCGCTTAAAAACGCTTATTGAAGATAAAATTCTTCAGGCGCATGAGGATAAAATTAGATAAAAATTTATTAGAGATAAAAAATTTAACGGATGAAACGCAATAGTAATAATATTAGCGTCACGAAGATGTGCAGCGTTTTTGTTGAAGAAAAGGGAAAGAGCTATTGAGACCGACTGAGAGAGTGAGAAGGGCGAATTACCTTATAGAAATTCTATTTTTTAAATTTCTAAAAGAGAATTTATGAAATATTAGTACCTATTTAATGCAAAATAATTTATTGAAACTTCAAATGACGAATTGTAAATTAAAATGCCAAGTGTTTTTTGTTATCGAATAAATAAATAAAATCTATTATTAGTATTAATTTGCGACACTTAATATTTTAATGACAATTAAATTCATTAAATTCCTAACATATCTTCCTTTTTCCCTCCTTCTAAGTCTCGGAAATCTAAAGTTTTAGATTTGTATAAATATGAACAAGAATTAAAAATTAGTTTGCCAAAGAAGTTTCACTTCTGACATGTGTACTTTGTACGCACGCACATTTTTTTATTTTCTATAAAGCTCTGGATACATAGTGTTTAGTCTGATATTCGCGAAAAGTTCGAATGAGAGGTGCAGACGGAATGTCGAAGATGCCTGAGAATGACTGTCTTAGACGGTAGTCTCAAAAATAAGGTAGGGTGGGGCTAGTTGAGCAATTTAACACTTGATAAGTAGCTCCTCAATGAGTTGTTATGCCTCCTGATGGATCAGTCAAAATTCAAAATCATTTATTCATATAGGTAACACAATGTACACTCGTCAAATAATATATATGAAATGCTTCTAATTTTACATTTACTACCAGTTCTTAAATCAAGGGCGTAGAAGGGAAGAGAAGAACTGGCAATAAACTCTAATTTAAAATTGTAATTTATCCTATAACCAATATAGTAGCTACATCTGTTTAAATGCAGAAAGTCAAGTATCTTCAATGTACCCCATAGGTTAGGTATGAGCAAGGGGGCAAGGAGCACAAAGAATGGGTTGGAGAAAGGAATGCGTCAAACCAGGTTCTTTACTATTTGAGATGAAGTAAAATATGTGTTTGACAATCTGCTCTTCATTAGTAGTATTTTATTGACAGAATAACAAAACTTAAATGAATATTCTATTAACTGAAACTAGAATAAACGAAAAATAAGCATTCTAATTTATTTAGCATCCTAATTAATTATTATTATTTTATTCATCAGACAAATACAGTCCATTGATTGAATAGTTAGTTAGTAACAATAGTTTCTTAAGAGCTATGTTAGTAGAATTAGTAAAAATAAGAAAAAGTAGTTAAATAAAAACTATCAGGTACAAAGCCCTGCGGAGATGTCGAGCAATGTCATAAATAGGGGCACTCCATTCTCTCGACTATCATCCGTAAGATCTATCGATTACTCCTGCGAATTTAAAAAAAAACTATCATTCTTCATTAAACGATGTTGGCTGCAAGGCTGGGTTCTGGTTTTCGTATGGATAACTCCGAATTTTTTAAACTATTCTTTTCCAGCCATCTTATTTGCTGTCCAGCTGGGTATTTCAATGCCAAATTTAGCAGCACACTCGTGGGCAAGGCGTGGTCTTTTTGGGGGGGGTTTTTTTTTTTTTACAAAAAAAAAAAAAATTTTTTTTCCCCCCCCAAAAAAAAAAAAAAAAAAAAAAAAAAAAAAAAAAAAAAAAAAAAAAAAAAAAAAAAAAAAAAAAAGTGGTTTGGGGGGGGGGGGCTCTTTCCCCCCCCCCGCCCCCCCCCCCCCCCCGGGGGGGCCCCCCCCCCCCCGGGGGGGGGGGGCCCCCCGGGGCCCCCCGCCCCCCCCCCCCCCCCCCCCCCCCCCCCCCCCCCCCCCCCGGGGCCCCCCCCCCCCCCCCCCCCCCCCCCCCCCCCGCGGGGGGGGGGGGGGGGGGGGGGGGGGGGGGGGGGTGTTTGGGGGGGGGTGTTTTCCCTCCCCCCCCCCCCCCCCCCCCGCCCCGGGGGGGGGGGGGGGGGGGGGGGGGGGGGGGGGGGGGGGGGGGGCCCCCCCCCCCCCCCCCCCCCCCCCCCCCCCCCCGCCCCCCCCCCCCCCCCCCCCCCCCCCCCCCCGCGGGGGGCCCACGGGAGAAAAAAAAGATATGTTGTTAGGAGGGTTTTTGTGGGGGGGGGGGGGTGCGTGGGGGGGGGCCCCCCGCCCCCGCCCCCCCCCCCCCCCCCCCCCCCCCCCCCCCCCCCCCCCCCCACACAAAAAAAAAAAAAAAAAAAAAAAAAAAAAAAAAAAAAAAAAAAAAAAAAAAAAAAAAAAAAAAAAAAAAAAAATATGATACAGAGCAAGGCAAAACAAAACATGACTGCATATAATGTATAATGCCAAATACTAGTAGCTATAATAAAGAAGAAAGATACAAGGATTAGGACATACTTAGCTGATTTAAATTATTTTTAAACGAAACAGTAGAGGAGTGCAAAAAAGGGTCGATGTTATTGATAGAATCTAAAGCAGAACAGATTCTGTGACGAGGCTCGCGGAATCCAATGTTGGTTCTGGCAGTCGGAAGGGTAAAGGTTCTGAGCGAGCGTAGAGACCAGCCTTGCGATTCTGTAACTCACTTTTCGACTCTTCTTGCGGTTTTCGCAGCGGCGGTGGCGCTCAAATCAGTCGTGAAGCAGTCATTTGACGATTTGGCATTCTGATAAGGAGGGAGCTTGTAGTTTATTGTTTATCAGAATGCCAAATCGTAAAATGACTGCTTCACGACTGATTTGAGCGCGACCGCCGCTGCGAAAACCACAGTGAGAGTTCGAAAAGTGAGTTACAGAATCGCAAGACTGGCAGGAACATTGAATGTTATGAGTTCAAGATCTGAACAAGTTAGTTCATGTACGCATATTTTTCTTATAGTGACATAATCTATCAAATTACGCCTAGTGCTCAAAGAAAGTAAGTATTTTTTTAGCGGCGCCATTCCCGCTCTACCCTACTATAGATGACAAAACAGTAAATGTATCTGACTGAAACAATCCAAAGCCATATCAGGAAACCAGGTTATCCGCAAATTTGACCACTAGCGAAAATTAATTTTGGATAAAACATTATACAACTCACGGTCAAACAATTAATTTGCTATCCATGTGGCAATCATCTAAACTCGTTTTCCTTGAGTTTCCTTGATCATTCTTCGAACTACGACACCAGACAGTAACCAATTAGCGTTCAAGCTGAACGCACGTAGTTTATTGTGCAAGGAATCAAGTCAAAGGTCAGAATATCTTGATTATTTTCAGACATAATACTCAATATTAATTTGTCCTCTCGTTTATTTGAAGTTGATTATCTTGCTTACGATTTCCGAAGTCCGGGCTTCCCTTCTCTCAATAATAGTGTCGTTTGTTTACATACATGTGCAGTCAATTGTTTATTTAAATTGTTTGGACAGTGATACTTGTTTTCGATATAAAAATAATCAAAATGATTTTATCAAACTCTTATTACTTGATTCCCCTTCCCCCTCGTGGTTATTTAATTGTTATTTTGAACTCTTGGTAATTTGAAGTTTATCATGAGTTTAAAATTATTAAGTCGCCTGTAATAAAATAACACTTAAACCAGTTTAAGTATTTAACGAATCGTCGAACGTAACGAACGTCTTTAGATGATTTCCGTGTTGAATATTGAATCCTGTGTGTCAAAAGTGTATTAACTTTTGGTGTCACATTATTATTAAAGTTCACCACAGATATAAAGTATATGTTACAAAATATCTTTTTTAAATATAAAAAATCTATGTTTATTATAGAACATTAAGATACACGTATCACTTATTCCACGTAATTAAATTGTCAGGTTGCCCTACTCATCGGCAAAGAAGATAGAGGGTGTAGGCCGAGAGAAAAGCAGGCGTAAAAATAAAAACCAACCACCCCTTTTTTTTACCCCTCCCCCCAATTTTTTTAAAGAAGCCCTCCCCCCCCCCCCCCCCCCCCCCCCCCCCCCCCCCCTATCCTTCTTTCTTTTCCCTTTTTCCCCCCCCCCCTTTTTTCCCCTTCTTTTTTTTTTTTTTAATTAAATAAAAAAAACCCCGGTTTTTTTTTTTTTTAAATTTTCCCTTTCCCCCCCCCCCCCCCCAAAAAATTTTTTTTTTTTTTTTGGGGTTTTTTTTTTTATCACCCCCCCCCGCCGGGGGCCCCGGGCTTTTTTTTTTTCCTTTTTTCCCCCCCCCCCCCCCCCCCCCCGGGGGGCACCCCCGGGGGCGCCCCCCCCCCCGCGGCGGCCCCCCCCCCCTTTTTTTTCTTTCCCCCCCCCCCCCCCCCCCCCCCCCCCCCCCCCCCCCCCCCCCCCCCCCCCCCCCCCCCCCCCCCCCCCAAAAAAAAAACCCACCCCCCAAAAAAGGGGGGGGGGGGGGGGGGGCCCACTCTCGGTACTCTTTTAAAATAGCAAATCAAACAACACTTATTTATAACAAATTTCGCAAAATTTTTGGGGGGGGCCCTTTCCCCCCCCCGCCCCCCCCCCCTTTTTCAAAAAAAAAAAAAATTTTTTTTTCCCCCCCCCTCCCCCCCCTTTTTTTTTTAAATATTTTTATTTATTTTAAAAAAAAAAAAAAAAAACACCGTTTATATTATAAAAAAAAAAAAAAACCCCCCCCCAAAAAAAAAAAAAAAAAAAAAAAAAAGGGGGGGGGGGGAAAAAAAAAAACCCCCCCCCCCCCCGGGGGGGGGGGGGTTTTTTTTTTTTTTTTATAATAAAAAAAAATAAAAAAAGGGGGGGGGGGCCCCCCCCCGGCCCCCCCCCCCCTTTTTGGGGGGTTGTTCACCATTTAAAATTTTGGGGAGGGGGGAGTCCCCCCCCCCCCCCCCCCCCCCCAAAAAAAAAAAAAAAAAAAAAAAAAAAAAAAAAAAAAAAAAAAAAAAAAAAAAAAATGTTATATTTTTTCCCCCCCCTTTATTTATTTATTTAGTTATAAAGCCCACAACATCACACACAGTCATAAGTCCACCAACTATTTCACAAAATCCCACATCTAAAATGTGTGACAGTTAATGCAAGCATAAGTTTCTCAGTAAAAAAATCAAATAGAAATTAAAAAAAAACACAACTAAAACACACACGACAATGCAAGCACACATTAAAATAAAATCAATTTTTTAACATAAACATAAAATAAAATAAAATTTTCAACAACTATGTGCAGAAAAAAAAGAAAAATCATCAGAAAAAAAAGAAATTAGGTTCTAGAAAGGCACCCCACAATGCTTTCTCTAAAACCGATCAGCCCACTACCGAATATATCCAGCTCTGGATACGCTGTGTTCAGTTTGTTGAAATCGCGAAGAATTCGAACGAGAGGTGCCTGAACTCCTAGGTTGGTTTTGGCAGATGGAATTTGGAATATATTGTTAATTTTAAACCTAGGGAATGAGTAAGGGACGACAAATTTGATTTCCTGTAAAAGGTCACTGTTCTGTAAATGGTTGTTGAGCAATTTATACAAGAATGTAACACCGGCTAGAGCTCTCCGATTGTTAAGAGATAACATATTAAATTTTTTAAGTCGCTGATGGTACGGTTGTCTATGTGAAAATCCTCTGCTTATGAAAGCTAGGTGTCGCGTAAAAGATCTTTGTATGCTTTCAACGCGTTGCGAATGGATCGCATATAGTGGATTCCATATAATACTACCAAACTCAACATGACTGCGCACCAGAGCGTTGTACAAAATTGTTTTAGTCGTACAACCAAAACAATCCGCATTCCGTTTAAGAAATCCAAGCATTCGTGCGGATGTGGTGACTACTTTATTGACCTGCGATGTAAACGTTAATTTTTTGTCAATAATAACACCCAAGTCACGAATCTCCTGAACCTCCTTCAATGGCGCGCCGTCAAGCTTATACACAGTAACAAGTGGTTTTTTTTTTCTTGTGTATTTAATATGAAAGCACTTATTTATATTGAGGATCATACCATTTAAAAAGCACCAATGTTGTATACCATTAAGGTCACTTTGCACTAGAGCAGCATCACAGACAGTGTTAATAACTTTATAAATTTTTAAATCATCAGCGAAGAGAGACGATTTACAGTGCTTTATATGATTCTTAACGTCGTTTACAAATAGTAAGAATAGCAACGGTCCCAAATGAGATCCTTGCGGTACACCAGATCGCGCAATATAGGGAGTAGACTCAGCGCCTCCAACAACTACTGACTGAGGCCTGTTACGAAGATAGGACCTAAACCAGTTTAGCAAATTCTCTCCCATTCCATAACCACGAAGCTTCTGAATCAGTAACGCGTGACTGACTTTGTCAAAGGCATTGCTAAAGTCAGTATATATGGCATCAGATCTGAATGAAAGCCAGATGGCGCCCACGATCTAATTCCTGACATGTTTCAGTAACAAAAGACATGAGGTTCGTTTGAATTGAACGGCCTTTTCTGAAACCATGTTGCTCATCAACGATACAGCCGTCTAAACATTTGGAGATTACGGGATACAGGACAGACTCAAAGAGCTTGGAAAAACAAGATAAAATACAAACAGGACGGTAATTTTTTACGTCGGTGATATCTCCCTTTTTATACACAGGTACAACACGAGACCTTTTCCATACTTCAGGAAAAACACCATCTTTAAGAGATCTATTATAAATAATAGTTAGGGGCAAAGATAACACAAATCTACATCGTTTTACAAAGATAGGAGGAATCGAGTCTGGCCCAGCTCCTTTGTTAGTATCAAGACCTTTTATTTTCTTAGATATTTCATCCTCTCTAAAGCTAAGGGACATTAGGCCGTCAACATTGCCAATGTCGTCTGGAGTGGAACTGCCAACAAGTGATTCATCACAAGTATATACAGATGAAAATTGATATGAAAAAAGATTAGCAATATCAGGTGATGACTGGGCTGTAACATTGTCCATTTTCATGCAAGAGGGAAGTGATGAGTGACCACCTTTCCTATTTTTAATAAAACTCCAAAAACATTTAGGATTATTAGGAATACTTGCCTCAATATTTCGCTTATATTTAGTGTAGCAATCATCATAAAGTTTGTGACAACGTTTTCTAATAATGTGATACTCTATTTCGTCTCGAGGATTCTTGTATATTCGATACCTCTTACGTGTTTTTTCTTTTTCAGCAAGTAATTTTATTAAGGAAGAACTGAACCACACCGGATACTTAGATTTCGTGATGGTCGTATTAGGTACAAATTTGCTTATAGTGGTGTTAAGAATTTTGTAGAACTTAGATACCATATCATTAACATCATCATGGGCGCGTAGGCTATCATTCCAATCAATGGTTTTCAGATCCCCTATTATAGACACATAGTCAGCTTTATAAAAATTTAGTTTAGTGTTACCTCTCGTTCGCAAAAAGGATATTTTAGAATATTCAAAACTTAACAATAAACTAGGATGATTCGCGTATATTTTACTTAACGAGTCGGAGGGGGCTGATACATTAATACTAGACATATTACTTAATACTAAATCTAAGAAACGATCATCGCTATTACCTATACTATTAAATTGCTTTAGGCTATTCATAGACATAAAATCAATCAAGGCAAAGCCAAGTGTATTGTTATAATTACAAGGTGTCATAAAAACTTCATTATTTAACGATCTCCAATCAATGAACCCTAGATTGAAATCACCTAGAATAATGACGTCATCGCTTAAGTTTAAAGCTCTGTCAACGCTGTCTAAAAAATGTGTCAAAGTCCCAATCTTTACAGGAGGAGGTAGGTATACTACACATATCGAAAGTTTCTTTATTATTTTATTAATATTTATATGTAAGGTGACCCATAAGTCCTCCACATCCGATTCCCATGCCTCAACTCTGAAAGAAGAAATTTCTTTGGAGACTCCCAATATGACACCTCCACCATCCGATTTGGTATTGGTAGAACTTGAACGATCTCTACGATAAACAGTGTATCTATTGTCAAATAATTCCATGTTTGAAATACCAGATTTCAGCCAAGTTTCAGTAAGAGCGATGATCCCATAATTAGAAGTTGACAAATATTTGAGAAAGCTTGCCGTTTTAGTTCTCAACCCTTGTACGTTTTGATAATAAATTTCAAGCATTGTAAAAAATCAGTGTGTTACTAGGCTAAAGATACAAAAAGCTTACAATCTAATATACTATGCTATACTATGTTAAAAGATTTAAGGTTTCGTTATTCTTAATAAGCAAGGCTTGGCAGTTTTCGTTCTTTCTTGTAAAAACTCGTCCGTTGCGAACCCATACAAATTTATACTGCTTCTCTTTTGCTTTCAAGCGTGTGGCCGCGTAAAGAGCATTGTTAACTGATGTTAGATGTTCAGATACAAAAATAGGTTTCTTAGTTCCTCCAATACCAAGATGATGAGAGTTCAATTTATCTTGTGGATTCTTCCTATTAAATTTGCTCACAGCAGCCAGAACAAAGTCACGTGTACGCGGGCTACATAACTTAGCCACCACGGACCGAGGCCTATCACTGCTATTAGTTATTTTAGCAACCCTTGTTACGTGCTGAATATCAACTTGAGTGAGGGGACAGTCCACAGTCTTGGCTATACGAAGGACAGTTTCAAATAAATTTTCTGACCTATTCTCAGGGATCCCATTAATCAGTATATTATTCTCCCGGGCATGTAGTTCAACAGAAGTTAGCCGATTCGTTAAGTCAGCCACATTAGACTTTAACCTGTCATTATCTTTTTTTTAAATTCACTATTGCGATGTCCTTCTCCTCAAGAGAAGACTTTATATCCTCATATTGTCGGCTCAGGAAGCAGATTGTGTCCTGGAATCCAGCAACCTTTTCAGTGAGATTATTAAGTTCCGATGTCACCAATCGCTTAATTGTCACAGTGAGGACTGAAGATAATTCCTGTTGTAAGATATCTCGCAATTTATCTTCAGTGACATATGATTCTAGTTCTGGTTCTGGTAGTTGTGAAGGGGGTCCGTGTGACGGCTTAATTCGCTGCGTTACTTTATCAGAGCACGGAGGTTCACTCTCCGGACTTGCTTCTTGTGAGCTCATACTAAGAGGGCTTCCATCGGAATTTTCACAAGTCAGCAATGACGTCTTTGCATTGCTAACATTAGTCGGTTTCCTAGAGCATTCGGGACATCTAAATGACGCCTTTTGTCTTGCGACCATCTCAACAAAGCGCTTGCGGGAGACATTAGCACATACTAGGTCGTATTTTAACTTGCAGATATGACAGCATAAAAAATCCTTCTTTGGTAGCTCAGTATGACAGCTAGCACAACAATTTGAAGGCGCCATAGCAACTTTTAATAAAAAGAAAAAACAAAAAACAAGTGAGTTGCCTGGATTGGAACCACGTCACAAACTATATGACGATGTCTTGGCAGCGTTCTGCTACACTGAGCCGATCGGATAGTTGAGTACTTAGCCAAAATAATAGTATATATTCCAGACAAATAGCGGAGTGCAAACGCACAACGCGTCACCACGTTGAACAAAAACTCGACACTGTTTCACTGAATCTATGGATATGATTATTAAAATTAATCCAAAAACTATCAAATGCAAATGCAAATGTTAATGTTATGATTCACTTGCGTATTTTTCCATTTGGCGTATTGTTGATTGACCACTGCACCAGAGCGCTTGTTATTATGTTGTAAATTTGATTATCCTATTAACACAACAACTTTGAAAAGTCACACACTGCACTTATTTGCCTTGCTTAATTCACCTAAAACAACATACTAGCAATATTAGCAGTATTTCTATTTTTAATCTTATTTTTACACGGGAGCCGATGTGTACGGTACCCACAACGACGGGGAATCCATTTTTTAAATTAAAAAAAAACAAAACTCTTTTTTATTTTTTATTTTTGGGTTGGGGGTTTTTAGGTTCCCTTCCGACAAACACCCCCCCCCATTTTTTTTTTTTTTTTTTAAAAAATTTTTTTTTTTTTTTTATATCCAATAAAAAACGGGGGGGGGGGGGGGGGTTTTTTTTGGTGGGGGGGGAAAAAACATTTTGCTCCGCCGGGGGGGGGGTTTTTTTTTTTTGTTTGTAAAAAAAAATGAATGCTCTCCCTTTTTTTAATATTTTTTTTTTTTTTTTTTTTTGCGTAAAACATTAAAAATATTATTAATTTGATAACATAATAATGTGATGATATATTGTATGTAACTTTTATGTAAAATTCCTTTTATGACAATATGCACGCTATTGTGGCAAAATACGCGACTTTTAGATTGTACCACCAAAACATTTTTGTACCATATTCTTGGAAATAAATTATGATTATTTCTATTAGCTCGTGTCACATTATGAGCTGATGTCCTTATACCAAAAGATTTATTACTAAATGCTTAAAACAATCGTGTCACAAATCATAATTGAATTAAACATATTTATAATCAGCTAACTGGAAGGGAAATAAAAGAAATATGAATGTGCCAATATTTAAAGGATCCTCCTATCATCTCGATCTGGCAGTTCTGTGACCGAGAAGTGCAGGAGAGTGTCGAAATCTCCCCGTTCCTACGGGACTTTATAAGCTTAAACTTAGGTGCGCTTGTCGTCTCTTGCCTAGCCTGGATAGCTCAATATCCTCATGATATTTATGGATTAGTCGGAGCCCGGCAGCCTCTAGTGCGAATAGTACTGAGATATATTTTGCCAATTTATGGCAGATTCCAGCTGCGATCAGCCGTGCGATTCTGTTAATCCCTGAGTTTACCTCGCACTAACAACGCTCCCTTCGTCACTCACGTCATTTTTGGAATCTCATGGTATTCTGTTAAGCAATTTCGCATAACATCTTGACAAGCGGAGGGAGCTTGTAGTTTATTGTTTATCAGAATGCCAAATCGTTAAATGACTGCTTCACGACTGATTTGAGCGCGACCGCCGCTGCGAAAACCGCTGTGAGTTCGAAAAGTGAGTTACAGAATCAAAAAACCCTTTTTTTAAATTATTTATTTAGAAAAAGTTAGTTGGTTTACGGATAACTCATCCCCGGGGAAACTCTCACGCCAGTTTGGAGCTCCAGATCGCACCTGGCTCTTTCGAAAGTTGGACAACAAGTAAATGAATCACCATTTGGTTGATTCTTTCGTCAGTTGCAAAGCTTGTCTTCAGTCTTGACCCCATGACCCGTCGTCATAGTTACGAGTTATATGCAAAAAAAAATTTAAACTCGTTTTCCCAAGGTCGTATATGTTTTATTATACTTTAAATAGCTGCCCCCGCGAACTTACCTTTAAATACAACATGGAACATTTTGCTATGCTACCCCAGAGACTGTTCGATTTTCCGGAATGAAAACTTTTTAGGTTTTTCTGTGAATTTTTCTCTATATAAACCTCTGAGTTCAAGTTCTAAGTTAATAATTTACAAATAAAAAAATAGGGGTTGGTCGTAGAGGGATGAAAATTTGGGGTTGTATGTATCATAAAAAAGGAGATTTTTTTAGGGACACCCCTCCCTTATCCCTTAGGGGTTTGAAAGATAGATAGTAGCCTAAAAATTTCATACGAATCGGTCGAGCCGTTTCGGAGGAGTATGGGAACGAATATTGTGACACGAGAATTTTATATACTTTTTTAGTATTTAATGTAAACGAATATTTTTTATTTATTATAAACCTTCTGGCTATCATGAATACAGAATATATTTGCCTTTGAAATTAACACAGGGATTTTATTAACTTGTGTGTAAAAATCAGCCACGCGTGTCCGACACACAAGACTGCATTAATACAATGTATTATTTAAAGAAAAAACTGTTTAACCGGATTGAAGTTATGTATTATTATAAATTTACAACTATTTAACATAATTTTAAATTTATCCGACGTTTCACGTGCTTTACAGCGTGCGTGGTCACGGTGACTGAAGACAAAAGATGTTGGATGTCAAAAAGTATCACAGCTGTAGAGAAAGTTGCCTTATCTGTATTAATACCCCGGAGTTGGTATCGACTAAAAGATGGAGGGTTTTGGCAAAAATGGCTCACAGTGTCCTCTATTTTCGCGGATTGTTTTTCTTGAGATTTTAATTTGGATATTATTGGATCCCAGGTGTTTGACAATTTTAGGCCGTCTTCTCTATTGAAATTGGGGTGTTTTTTGATACATAACTTCAATCCGGTTAAACAGTTTTTTCTTTAAATGTGTAAAGGTTATGTAAATCAAAGACAATACTACAATGATTTTTGTTGATTTTAATATTAGGATAGTAGGAATAATTTTTAAGTCAGTTAACAACTATAGTATTTTTTACTATTTCCAACAAATATACAGGATTAACGATATTCTTAACATACATTGTAATAATAATAATTAATATATCGTCCCCGTAGAGCAAAAACTAATTAAGTCAAAAAATTGGCAAATCGAGTTATCTATGCCATTAAAACTATATTTTTTTTCTTTATTTAACCGTCTAACTGTCTACAAAAAAAGACAATTAAATAAATCTATTCTTTGGCCCTAATAGAAAATAAGAGAAATAACTAAATCATATTAAGTATTCTTTATTTATCAAAAACTTACATAGCTTATAAAAATAAATGATTAAATTACTTTTATAATAACATTTTTAAACCATAGGGAGTGCAGAAGATTTTTGAAGTGAAACTTCTTTATCGGGGTTGGAAAAAAATTTAGTGTAACATTTTTGCGTTACGCGTCATATTTTTCCGTTACGCGCCATGTTGCTTTTTGAAGTCAAACTTCTTTATCGGCGTTAAAATATGACATATAGTATGTTTTTGACTTTGAAGTTTGACAACGGATTACATTTTCGACTTGAAATTTGCTAATCGCAATTTGCAGCAATTAATTTGTAAATTGTATGCTAGGCAGTGTATCAAAATTTACTGTGTTTAAAGAAATAGTTTCTAATAAGGTCATAAAGAAGTTTCACTTCTTACGTGTGTACACCTAGTACACGCACACATTTTTTTATATAAAAGTAGTTTGATTTTATACTATTAAAAAACAAAATGCCTTTTAACTCTTAAGTTAAAAAAAAAGTTAGTCGTAAATTACCCAACTCAAGTTATTTATCATAAAAATAAACTCGATCTGAGTGAAAAATCACTAAGGGCCAGTTTTTTTGATCTGTAGTAAAAAATGGTTTAACCATTTGTTACATTAACTATAGTTAAATGAATAACCATTGGTAAAATCGTAAATGCGTTTTTCAATGTCTATTTTAACTATAGTTAATCTTAACAATTGGTCAATTTGTTGCCAGTCAATAGAGCAATGACATCCCAAAAAATGTGGTTCTTTTTGTGGGGAGCATTTATTTTGTATGACAACACTAGACATATTGAGTGAATGAAATCCATTTTTGCCATCTTCATTCGTTATTTGCGCTTTGAAGAGTTTGAAGTGTCAAATTAATCTAAATAACACGATATAAATAAAGTTGTTTTAATACGGTTTACACCTTTTACGATACTTAAATATATAAATAACGATGTCCGCAAACAGCCAACGGTCAAACAAGTAAGTACAAACATATTTTCGTGTTATTTATTCCGGTTTATCTTGTGTTTCGTAATAGAAAGTAATACATTTATGTTTTGTTAAAGGGACCATACTGCTAACTTCGCCAAAAAGAAACTGCAAACTGGTGATCTTCTCAAGGATTACACAGTCGTAACCTGCAAACAACTGATCACTGCAGCAATCTACAAAAAGATGCAGCTTGGAAATCTCTGTGACGTTTTCAACTCAGATGGGTCTAGACACCGAAGTGTTAAATTTAATATACATTTAATGAAGGTGTAGGCACATATTTATATTTATTTTTGTATAGCTGTGTCCTACAACAAAAGGAAAAAATCTTTTAACCCTTTGGAAACAAGGAAGCGGATTATGATCCACACGGATAAAAAAATGGAGTTTTTGAAACAAAAACAAAAGAGGATGATTTGTTCAATTATGCTAAGGAAGAGCATCAAAAACATTTGCTGCACCAATAGAGGCCCACCAAAAATCCATACTGCATAAAGAGGAGGCACCAAAAAGTGATGCCAGATGGAAGAAAGGCACAATAAATATATGTACAGCAAAAGAGTTGCATCAAATTGAGGTGAAATGCAAGAAGAAAAAATTAGAAAATATTTAATTGCTACTTTAGGGTTTCATGTAAATTTTGTAATGTTTTTTTAATAAAAATGGTTTGTATTTAAGTTATAATTAAACAGTTTATTAATCAAGTCACATGTTTTATTTATAAATCCTTGTAATAAAGTAGGTAGATGCTAACTCACAAATGTAATAAAAG